TAAGTACACTGGATGCCTTCCAGTAAAGATCGATACAAAGACCAATTAACAAGAGAATCATTGTTGAAGCGTAGCTTTGATAGAAATACAGTAATTGTTATCCACATAACTGCTGTGTTTAATTTAATGTGTTCAATTAATAAATGCCATTCAAACAGTATACGAACTAACTAACTTTATATTTTTGTAAAACACACTTCATGTTTTTCAAACGCTCGAAGAAACAAGTTATCGAACAGCCAGTAAATATTTCAGAGAAACAAGCATCGAAAGTACAAACAAATGACTTTACGATTTTTTACAAATCAAACAAACGGTTGCCATGCAAGATACGCCCACATTTTGCAAGAGAAGGGCGATGTTTCGTACAATCAGGGGGTCATAATCCAAAAAGTTACGGTCCAATACGCGCAAATATCGAAAGGAACCGAGATCTTTTGGATATATTTTAAGTTTCATCAAAATCGAAAACAAAATAATGACCGCTAGAGTGTCCACCAACCTTGATATTACATACTGAGCGGTCATTTTGTTTCGGTCCGATTGTCACAAAATTCGACCTCAATTGTCGTCAGGGTGTTACGATGATATATTTGAAGGTTTTTTTAATGGGATAACATTGTGACATTTATCCAGTAGCTAAAAACACGATTTTTCGTACAAACAGGTGTCATAATCCAGGAAGTAATGGTCCGATATCCACAGGAACTGAGATCTGTGTGAAAAACATATAATTTAAGTTTCATGAAAATCGAATAGAAATTGTGACCTCTACAGTGTCCACGAGCTAAACACGTGATTTTTTGTACAATCAGTTCAGGGCTATGATCCATGAAATTACAGCCCGATTCGTTTTATATTTCGAAATTTCGTTTTACTTGTCTTACTACACTAGGATCTGTGTTACCGGTGATTTGGTTGAAGTGGGGATTAGTCAATGAAATGGTCTGTTACGGCGACTTCTTGGCGTGCCATGCACGGAACAGTGAGTTAGTAAACCACTAGAAACGTCAACGCTGATTCGTTAATTAATGTATGCCGTCTTAGGGTCAAAAGCCGTTCGTGCGACCCTTGACACGACCTTTCAGTACAACTTGTCATCGAAAGTATAAAAAAAATGAAACGAAATAAAGATCTGTATTGTAATCAGATTGAGTCCAATAAAAAGCAATATCGAAAGAAGTGGAGATCTTTGGGATAAAAACTTATATGTCAAGTTTCGTCCAATTTGGACAACAATTATGTCCTGTAGAGTGTCCGCGTGAAAATGTGGGCGTATAAAAATCGCCGATCGCAGAATTAACGAACTTACTTGTTGGAATCGAGACGAAAAGCCTGCTAATGTAACGATAAGCGGGATGAAGTCGGGAGCCACGTGACTAGAAACAAGTAAGAACAAGGTAGGCTCTTCCACAATGTCTCAGTAGCTCGCTAGCCTGGAGGTCGGGTGTTCGATCCCTGCATTGGCCGAGAAAGTTCATCCAGATTTTCCGGCGTGGTTCTCCCTTGTCAGTGATGCAGGACGGAGGGGCTGACAAGAAAAGCTGTCTAGTCGTTCAGATGGGACGAAAAACCGAGGTCCCGTGTACACATTGGCGTGCACGTAAAAGATCCCTTGGCAGTTGGAATTCGATATAAGAGTAGGCCGTAGCGCCGCTGCCCGGGCAAAAATTTCCCTCATAGCACACTGTATGGCGTATGCCCGTCTTCATTAGCCCAGGTTAGGAGCAGAAAAGTAGGACGTTAAACCACATTTCATTTCATTTCACAATATCTCAGGTTCCGTATTCAAAGGATAGTCACTTAACTACTAGATTTCACTTAAACATATGTAGCTTCCTGTAAGTTAAGGGTAAGTGGTTTTTCAAAGGCAAGTGGTTTTCAAAGGCAATGTTAAGTATAAGATTTTCCCTTGCGTTATTCAAAGGACAGTGTACGGTTGCGTTTTTCACATAACCAAGGAGATGTAACATACAGCCTTTGAATACCGATTTAAGGTAACGCACTTAGTTAAGTGAAAAAATTAAGTATTTTTACTCAACTCCCAGAAGTTCAATGTAATGATCAGAACTTAATTGGATTTATATAAATAATGATTTTTATTTTGTTGTTGCGTCTATTTAGATTTGATTTATTTGTAAAGTTTGCCTAAGAATTAACTTGTTTAAATATCTTGTTGATTGATAGGTTTATTTATTTTTAATTCAGTCACTGTATTTTTTACAGGTTATTTGGTTTCAGCCGGCTAATAGGCGAAATAGAAACAACAATATACATTTTATAAAAAATGTACAATACAATTTTAATTGGCTGTGAAGCTTCCATAAGAATTTTATTTTCAAATTTTGATTTATAGATTTTCTTTTATTTAAACATTTAAGGTTTTAGACGACTAATGAACTAAACATATATGACAATACACATTTTACACAAAATATACAGGCCTAAACAGTAAACACAATTTTACTTATTTCTGAAGTTTGCCAAGAAATTAACTTTTTCAAATCTTGTTGATTTGTATTTTGACAGTTAATATTGTGCAGGTTTTTTTGTTTCACTTTATACGAATGTAATAAACATACACGATGATGTGCAATTTTATTCGTTTCTTGGCATTTCATTTGGTTCACACTTCACCGTAGTCGAACGACCGGAAATCCAGACGTCGGCAGAGAAGTACCTTGTGTTTCCTACTGTTTGAAACGGCCCGTGTCCGGAGCTGTCTGCCAAAGTGATGGAACGAAAAACAAAAGAGTGAGAGTTAGAAATGAGGTTTTACGTCCACTAGACACAAACTAGGTCATTTCGGGACTAACGTATGGTTCAATTTTATTTCAATAATTCGGTTGCGTGTAGGGATCTTTAGTAGTGGGAGGAAAGCGAGAAATAATATTTAGACATGAAATCAGGTTAATATCGAAAATCAATGCACGAAGACAGGCATGCATATCGAAAGGAACTGCGACCTTTGGGATGTAAACATACATTTTAAATTTCATCAAAATCGGACAAAAACTGTGACCTCAAGAGGGTCCATAACCTTCGTATTACATACTTTTACATAGTTGCGTACACGGAACGGCCATTTAGTCGGGCAGTTTCGTTTCTCCCGAAATTCGAACTCAAACTTCAATACGGTGTAACTGTGATATAATTAAAATGTTTTTAAAATTGAATAAAAATTGTGACGTCTGGAGGGTTCACAGGCTAAAACTTTGACTTTTCAAACAACCAGGGGCCATAATCCAGAAGGTTCGGATCTGAAATGCACGAATATCGAAAGGAGCCGAGATCTTTGTGATGTAAACATATTTTTTACAGTTTCATCAAAATAGGATAAATTTAACGCGATGCTCTTGTCGACACCAGAAATTCATTCATTAGATGTATAGGAGACATTCGTGAATTTATTGTCCGAAAGTCGCTTGAATGAGACAGCATATTTCAATGTCCTTTTAAATCTATGAAGCAGAGACCTTTGGTAGGAGCGTGTTTTTAAACCAATTTGAGATGAAAATCTACCATGGACTAGTAAGTTTTGATCTTGTGATTCTTTGATGGGAGACAACTCAAAATATGCAAGGTAAACCGTGTGCTATCCTGTATATTATTTGAAGCAATAAACACGATGGAAATTAAAACGCTCCCATATCAATACGGTAAAGTTGTTAAAATCGTGACTATTGAATGATGTACACCACTGTTTCCAGTTTGGATATTCCGTAGTGATGGTTTCAGCTTACCATTTAACAAAATACAATTTGCATCCGAAAGAGTCGTATGACAACTTCTTTCAACACCTTTTTCAGGAGATGGAGTAAACGGGACAATGTTCGGAGCAATACACTGGTTATTATATTTAATTATGTACTTATATATAAGGCACTGGAAGTTGTAAGGACGCAAGAGGGAAGGGTTCGAAGTGCTATATAATGTACAGGAAGTTGTAAAGACACAATAGGGGAGGGTTCGAAGTGCTATATAATGTACAGGAAGTTGTAAAGACACAATAGGGGAGGGTTCGAAGTGCTATATAATGTACAGGAAGTTGTAAAGACACAATAGGGGAGGGTTCGAAGTGCTATATAATGTACAGGAAGTTGTAAAGACACAAGAGGGAAGGGTTCGAAGTGCTATATAATGTACCGGAAGTTGTAAAGACACAAGAGGGAAGGGGTCGAAGTGCTATAAATGTGCCGGAAGTTGTAAAGATGCAGGAGGGGAGCGCTCAAAGTGCTATATAATGTGCCGGAAGTTGTAAGGACGCAAGAGGGAGGCGCTGAAAGTGCTATATATGGAACTGTAAGTTGTAAAGACGCAAGGGGGAGTGCTCGAAGTGCTATATAATGTGCTATAAGTTATGTAATGTTAGACAAAGATTAGTTATCTATATATAATTTATTAAGGATAGTTCGCAAGGATTGGTTCTTATTGGGGTAATGGTGACACCTGTCATTTTCTGCTCTTAACGTCTGTGTGTGATATCCACGAGATTCATCTAGTCTGCCTATTAATTGGTGCTATTGCTGTAGAAATTTTCGATATTTGAATCACTTCCCGATAATGATGGTGTACGTATTTAATACTCTCCAGAAATTAAAGGCTCGAATTAAGAGAAAGAACTGGGCTTTAACGTCCATTCGACACAAACGATACTAGCATGGTTCGATGTTCTATTACAATATTTTGCTTAGCTGTAGAGGACCAGGAGAAATCCACGAGGTTGGACAAGCGCCGCAACTCCTTGTCACGCATCAGCGCGGAAGTAAATGATAGACCCTATGATACAACGCGCACGCGACCCAACCCCTGTGTTAGAATTAAGTCGGTTAGAAAACATTGGTACTCCAGTTATGACGTATTTGTTGTAAACAAATCCAACCCTACTCCATGTGGCCCCGCCTCTTTCTCCTGCTCCGGGCCTTCTCAACGATAACGATGGAGACATTGCTGATAGATACAACTTTAACGTAGTTCTTTTTTAAATCAGAAAACAAGAATATTCTTTAGAAATAATTTACTTTATGTGAATTGAAATGTTTTTGTACCCCTGTTTCTTTACAAGATTTACTGGCTCTTTGTGACTGTTCGTTCACAGTCAACTTCCGGTTACTGGCTGTTTCTGGTCTTTAGCGCTAGCAACAGAAACAATATGGCGGCTGATCCAAACACACCTGCCGCTACGAAGAAGACGATATTATAAGATTTCGTGACGTCATACACCATACCTAATAATAGAAATGTACAATATATTTTCTTTGGGTGGCAGTTGGCCTACGTAACAATGGCAATAACATAACATGGAGTATAAATACTATTACAATTAAAACCACATTTTTTTTATTTCAATAATTCGCTTGTGCGTAGGGGTCTTTAGCAGTGGGAGGAAATCGGAGGACCTGGAGAAAACTCACGAGGTTGGACAGGCGAACCTACTCCTTGTCACGTACATTCGGGGATTCGAAACCACGGCAGTTGACTCAATGACAGGCTTTATGATACAGCATGCACGTGCTAACCATTCGCCCATCCAACCCCCACATTCTCTTAGAGTTTTGTAAGCAAATAGTGATGAAAATAATGCACAGACGATGTATGTTACAAAGAGACGTCACCTTAAACATACATTATGCCAGAGCTAAATCTGCCTATTGCAGGTATTTCTTTAGGCCTGAAATGTTATCTGAATTATTAATTAGACATATATACGATAGTACCGGTTGTTCCGATTTGTAAAGCATGCACTGCCAGGGACACTGTACATATACTCAGCCAAATTAAAAACTTGACACTGATGAATTTCAACAAATTTAAAGTGTTTCTAACGATAGTAAGTAGTAAGAAGCCTTTATTTTCATAAAATTGTCAAGTCACGTGGATCACGTTACTTTTGAGCATATAAAGATGAAAAACCTGAAAAACACGTGCAAACACAAACTCGTGAGGTCAATCGATGCAAGTTTGCTTAAACTGAACACGAACACGTAACTTGAACTGGAAAAACAAATTAAAATTGTTATTTTCATCTTTGTTAGAAAATGCTGCGCCTTTCAAATGTAGAACGTCTACGTGCTATAGGTAGGCTCTATGCTGGTCAGTCTGTGGTCACTGTTGCAAGAGCCTTTAATTGTTCACGCCAGACAATAATTAATCTTAGAATGAGAGTACTTCAAACTGGAACTATTGCCGACCGCCCAAGGGCGGGAGCGCCACGTGTGACGTCACTCCAGGAAGATCAAGCAATACGATTACGTCATCTTAGAAACAGGTTTGTCACTGCAACCTCCACAATTAGAGAGATGTTTGGTGGAAGGTTAACTGCACAATCTGTTCGAAATCGCTGGCAGGCTGCTGGTCTTCGAGCTCGGTGGCCCTATAATTGACCAATATTGACACCTCTTCATCGCCGTAACCGACTTGTGTGGGCCACAAGACACATAAGATTTACTCAAAAACAGTGGGATTCGGTTGTCTTTAGTGACGAATCTCGATTCACTTTGAGATTTGCCGATGGCAGGGTCCGAGTGTACCGCAGACGAGGTGAACGTTACGCTCAAGTATGCGTCAGAGAAGTTGACCGATTTGGTGGCGGCAGCGTCATGGTTTGGGGTTCTTTTTGTGCACATGGACGTTCTCCTCTTGTTGTTGTCCAAGGGAACTTAAATGCTGTCCAGTACAGGGATCAGATTTTGCAACCTGTTCTTCTTCCGTTTATGCAGAGACATGGGCCTGGACTAACGTTTCAACAAGACAATGCTCGACCCCATACAGCAATTGCTACCCAGAAATGCCGGTGTCCAAGTCCTTGATTGGCCGTCGCTTAGCCCCGACCTTAATCCTATTGAACACATCTGGGACGAACTGGGTCGACGTGTTCGTAAGCAAGTGAATCCACCACTGACGTTGCAGAACCTTCAACGTTGTGTAGCAGTACGAGACGCCAGAGGAGGCCACAACCGTTACTAAACACTTTATTCCGATTGTTCTCCAAGTCTGTGAATTTCATTTTGGGGGGTACTGTGACATCACGAACGTTATCAATGTCAAGGACTTTCGGCAAGACGTATTCTTGCTTTCTGTTGATGTCAAGGTCGTCTGTGCACAACATAACACTAAAATAGTTGCCTTAAACCAAATATTAAAAATCTAGTCCCAAAAATCGAGTGTCAAGTTTTTAATTTGGCTGAGTATATTAACAATAAATAAGTATTGTATCTAGTTAATTATTTACAAATTGTTATTTTTGTGGTATTGCTCGAAAGGTCACAAGGTCGAAAGCTTTCTACTAGTTTAGTGCAGGTAGTATGAAGGAAACAGCCTAGTCTAGGTTGTGCTAGAGGGCAAGTCTAGGTTGTGTTTTAACGAAGCCTGAACAAGATTGTGGATTAGGCAGTGGTATAGTCTGGCCAATGTTTAATGTACCCTGAACAACATTGTGGGTGGGGCCTAGTCGTACAGTCTGGACTATAGATAGACAGCATGTCTTTAGAACAACCAGATATATATAGATAATACTGATAAATTGCAGAAATAAATGTGAGGTCATACATATATTTGCCAACCGTTCTGGGAAATTATATGACGTCATAATTTGTAACCATTGGTTGACGTCTAATTAAAAACAAAAATTTTCTAACGTCATATATTTTTAAAACCACGGGATGGCGTAACGTTAATATGTATTAAAGTTAATTAACCTGCTAAAGGTATTCCGGCAATTTGTCCTACACCGTTAACAAAAAATGTAGCCGCCCATATATAACGTTTTAACGTAATATTTGATACAAGTCGTGATAAAGCTGGATATAGTATACTCATCATAATACCATCCATTGAACCATGCACTACAATAATAATAATAATAATAATAATAAAAATAATAATAATAAATACAATAGTTGTTATATTAAACAGAAATGATGAATGTTGGCCATTGTTTGCGGTCGGCCTTTCAGTGTTTTGACCATTTTGCTATATTAAATTCTGCTCCAATCAATGGACTATAAGCAGTGAGGGGACAGGACAAATGTCGTTCTAGACTACCCTATATTACGTCTTTTAGGTTGACATTGTTTTCTTAATTTGACCAGTAGATCTGGTGTATACACAAAGAAAATACCCCAGTGGATATTACAGGGGGTCGTTAACTCATCTCTGTGTTTATATACAGGCAGTATACACGTATGTAATGGATGTGTATACAACTTTTAACGTTTAAATTTGCTATATTAATTAAAGAATTACTAGATCTTAAATACAAGCAAGCTGCGTCATTCTAATGGAAGTCATATACCCGACCAAGCACATGTAAATCAAAAGGATACGGCTGTGGCTACTGCTTACATTAGACCGTACTTGGTTTTATTTCGTTTCTATTTACGCAACAGTAACAAACAAAGTTTGTCGTCAACTGACCGTCTAACCGGTAACCGGTGGTTAGAGGAAACCAACGGATCAGAACAAAAAAAAGATTTAATCGCAATTAGATGGATGAAGCTACTTACCAAAACAATAGACAGCCACTTGGTAATAAGTTGTAGCATAAATTAAAAGACTACTGGAAATAGACAGAACACAACATCCAGCTGCATACAGATATATCACATACTTTCTTATTTTATCACCTGTAATAACAACAAGCACAATTATTTACTATTTATTATATATACTATTCAAAAAAAGTAGGGGATATTTGATTTTTAAGTGTTATTAAAGTCACCTAATGAAACTGACGAAGAAACAAATGACAAAATGAAATGAAGTTCACATTCATCGATTTATTCCAAATGATCGTTAGACTAAGCAAGGCACAGACTGACCATTATAAGGGTAAAATGATACCCGGGGTCAAACAGCAAAGTTACCACAGCATCACAACCAAGTCAGTAACGGGTAAATCCTCCTCTGTTTGCCAAACAAGCATTGATCCGACGTGGCATACTCCTAATGAGACGTCTAAGGTCATTTTGGTCCAGATTGTCCCATTCCTGTTGCAACGCAGCAGCAAGTTCTTGGACATTGGCAGGACGTTGTTGACGTTGACGTAACCTCTGTCCAAGCATGTCCCAGACATGCTCGATGGTGATGTTCTGTTGTTGGAGGTAACCTGTAACGATCCTGGCCCTGTGACATCTTGCGTTGTCATCCTGGAAGATAAAACGGCGGCCATGACGTCGTGCGAACGGCACAACATGGACTGCCACGATGTTGTCCCGGTAGTACTGGCCTGTAACACGCCCTGCAACAACATGTAAAGCCGTTCTTCCAGCAACAGTGATGCCTCCCCACACCATAACAGAACCACCCCCAAATCGATCATGTCTGATGACGTTAACGTCTTAGAAGCGCTCGTTTCGACGACGCCACACCCTCCTACGTCTGTCCAAAAAATCAACAGTGAACCTTGACTCATCTGAAAACATCACATTGCTCCAGCGTCGATTATCCCAGTGTTGACGATCCCTACACCAACGACGTCTTGCCTGAATGTGATGATCTCTCAAACAAGGGATCACGCGAGGACGTCGGCCTCGAAGGTGACCCTATGCAGTCGATTCCGAATCGTCTGGCCACTCACTCTCACACCAGTGTCTGTTTGAAGACGAGCGCTGATCTGATTTGCTGTGATGACACGATTTCTCAAGGCCAAGGTACGGATAAATCGATCCTGGGCTTGAGTTGTCACCCTTGGTCGACCTGAGCGTGGTCTGTCCTGTACAGATTGTGTATCACGGTATCTGGACCATAGCCTGCTTATGACAGACTGAGAAACATTCATCGTCCGCGCCACAACCGCCTGTGTTGTGCCGATCTGTAGCATGCCAAGGGCACGTAACCTTTCATTTTGGGTAAGCCGACGCATATCAAAATTTGTTTTCTGGTCACTAAAACAATTAAACTGATGTTTCCACCCTGGAATTCAATGCCACAATGACTGTAACATTCAAAGTCAGAGTCGTGCAAATCTTGGGTTGGACCCCCATGATGATCCCAAGCATCACCTGCATTCCATGCGGTAGCTATTGGTGCGTTTGGGCGTCACATGTAACTGGAAATGTTTCTTCTGTTAGGTTCTATAGTGACTTTTTTCGTAGTCATTTGCATATTTTAGTATTATGCCCCCAAAATCAAATATCCCCTACTTTTTTTGAATAGTATATATATCTTATGAAATATCAATGAATATCTGGAAATGAGTTGGAGCATTCAAGAGGCCAAACGGCATGGTATTATCGATTGCTGCTACAATTATAGTTGTATGTATAATTCTTATTACGGATTCGCAGTGGGGTAGATATGGAAATTGACATTGTGATATATTTTAGTTTTCAAAAATGAAAGAAGAAAAAAATACTTTTTTGTAATCATCTTTCCAATGAATAAAAAAGACATGTGAATATTTACATGAAATTTCTTACCCAATATTGAAATAAGAAAACTAAAGATAGCCTCGCCAAGTCCCTCTATTGACATACACAATGCGGCTATTTCCGGGTGAATATTTAAACTATGCATATATTGGATCTAAAATTAAATAATAAATTTAAAAAAATAACAGCACAGAATTTATGAAAACAAGTAGTGTTATTGGTTGCTCTAGAGTAAAATGAGAAAGCACCCTCAATGCGTCATAAACTGCATTAGTAGGTTTATATAATATGGGCATGTAATTAGCTTTTGTTGCAAGCTATTTGGTACATTCTTCCATTTTTAATTAAAATCAAAGTGTATGTCAACATGTGCATTTTAAATAAAATTACCTATTTTAGTGCGAAATCAGGATGGGGGATACGTGTTGTATTTTTTAATGCGGGGGTAGGCATGAGGGGCGATGACATTTAGCATGCATGAGGGAGATCAGCATTCACGACTGTCTCTTAATAGTAAGTGCAGGTGGAACGCACTACACGCGGGCCTGTAATGATACAGCCTTCACTACACGCGGGCCTGTAATGATACAGCCTTCACTACACATGGGCCTGTAATGATACAGCCTTCACTACACATGGGCCTGTAATGATACAGCCTTCACTCAAGATGAAAAAAAACAATGATTTACAAGAAAGATGTAACAGAAATATTGTGACCGACCTTGTCGCTGGTCGTCTTTAAAATGTCGATAATCTGTCAGTGAGATTGGCACACATGAAAAGCGTGTTGCGGAGGGATTGGCACACATGCGATTAGCACACGAAAAAATACTCACGCTCCTCTTCTGTTTGGGGAGAGCATCGTGAATTGTACTATATGGGAACATTCGGAAATGTCCGTAGTTGCCAACTTTATGTTCAAATCAGTCGTTTAGAATTTGTACTGATTTGAGCGGCTTGTGATACCTTGTTTTAATTGGCATATATCAGTAAAAAGTAGACAGCACATAAATTTGCGGAGTATGCCTGGTTTGTGAAATGAATTTACTTACAAAGTGGACTTTTGGTATATAAATCGAGAAAGATAAAAGAAAGATGGCGAATATCCAGATTGTGACAGCGTACAGTAAATACCACGAACAGCGCCATTCATCCGGCCCCTCCATCGTATTATTTAATGACATCACCCCGCGTGTTTCATCCTGTTTGTCAGTGACGTCATCTTTGATTGATGTCTTTTCGTCCATTACGTCATTATTTATAGCTCCCACGTCACTACTTTTTTCGTCAACATTTTTGTGAGTTTTATCGGTGTCTATTATCGTTTCCTCGTCTAAACTGTGGAAATCTGACGGTTTGTTATCTCTAATAAATAAACTACAGAATAAACCAATAACCAGTATTGCTAGAGAGAAGATCTTCATCGTATCACGCCACGTGTGAATCTCCACTGCGTCAAAATACGCGGCTATAGGATTCATTATAAACGAACCTGAAAAAATACGAAGCACAATAATTTTATAAAGCATGTTCACTGCTAAACAAGCCTGACCTTCACAGGGAGAGGGGCGTTGCATAGGTTTAGCCTGTTCCCCAACACTGAATAAAGTATTGTTTTAAACCATCTCTCACGTCTACAAAAATGTATTATTTTAATTGTGAAGACTGTAAGAAACCACATCCTCCATACGAATTGGCTGACATGCACGAATAAAAATGGGCTGACATTATTACTTGGTTTGTTTAAGAAATATCGACGTGGAGGGGAGAAATCAACCTAAACGTTAAATGCCCAGAATCCATATTAGAAATGAAATGAAATGAAATGAAATGGGGTTTAACGTCCGACTGTTCTGCTCCTAAACTGGGCTAATGAAGACGGGCATACGCCATACAGTGTGCTATGAGGGAAATTTTTCCCGGGCAGCGGCACTATCGCCTACTCTTATATCGAATTCCAACTGTCAAGGGATCTTTTACGTGAAGGTCAATATGTACACGGGACCTCGGTTTTTTTCCCATCCGAACGACTAGACAGCTGTCCTTGTCAGGCCCTCCGCCCTGCATCACTGACAAGGGGGAATCACGCCGGGAAATCTGGATGAACTTTCTCGGCCAATGCAGGGATCGAACACCCGACCTCCCGGCTAGCGAGCCCATATTAGAATTGATCATTTTGATCTTGTATGGTTTTTAATTCAACCTTTATTCGTTCACGCTATAAAATATATTTAAATACAAAATGGTGTAAGGTTAAGCAAATGCCTATTATATTATCTAACTAATGCTAATGGCCACTATTCGCGTTTCCTTTATCTATGTGAACCCTTAAATTATACGTGGTATCAGGTGTTCTAGATAATCTTTAATTTTCCCGCCAGTCGAACAAATTGTATTCTACGTACCCAATGGAGCTCCGACGTTCATGATACTGGTTGCTAGGAGGTGGTAACGATGGGATGGCGGGAAATGGTATTCTATCAGGCTGTATGGAGAATTCATAACGAGGCTGGATCCAATACCAAACGCTATACAATAAGTCAAGAACATCCAGCCGATGTGTTGGAAGTAGGAAGATATAAAGAGACCGGATGAACAAAGCAACACACCAGATAAGAAGAGAATAAATGAGGATATGAATCGCTGTAGAATGACGGTGACCCAACAAAATATCCTGTTTAATCCTAGAGCTAGAGCCCCTACCCATGCTGCAAATATAAACACAGAAATCATTAATATTTATAAAATATAAACACGGAAATCATCAACAATGTATCATACATACAGATATCGGTCATAAACGCAAAAATCATCAACAAATAAAAAATAATTGTTGATTTGGTTAATGTCAGACGCGTTATTTAATCAAATAAATCCTCTCTTTGTGTTACTCAACACAACCACATCATCCTCTTTAGCCAAAATATAAACACAGGCACCATCAACGCAACTCTTTAATAATCAAAACACAGACACTATCAAAACAACCAAGCCAGTCTCTTCAGTCAAAACAGACACCATCAACACAGACACTATCAACACAGACACTATCAACAAATATAGACTCAGAAAACACCTCTACCTCTCACAAAATTAACAAATAAAACACTGTCCTAAAATAAAAAAAAATCTGATGCCTTACACAAATAAAATTAACACCCTTATTGTTTGACCAAGACACCGACGTCACCCCCTTTAGATAATGAACACAAGCAGGTAGAATCAATAAATAACTACTTACCTAAAAGTTGAACACAGTCATTCGGACAAAATTCCTCGTTCAGTTGTTCCAGAAAAATTCCGAAACTTTGTACGAGTCCGGCTACTGGTATATAAACTAATATTGTTATTAAAACTAATATATATGGATATATCGAATCAGGTATGCAGTGTTCACATTTTCTGAAACACCTCATTCTGAAGTTGGAGGAATGTCTTTTCCTCTTTAACTGGTCATCATTACACTGGTCATTTGTTATTTAGTAAAATAATCGAATCGTTGTTCACACTTTCTGGTCACACATCACTGTAATTATTAAACATTTTTAAATATGATTTTAAACCATTACGTAAGCTGGAAAGTCATCGGTAATCCTACAATAATCTTCTGTTGGTTAGAAAATGTTGCGGGTTATAAACGTTACATTCCTGTGTGGTCACACATCATATTGTTAAACGTTTGATTTTGAACAATTACGTAAGCTGAAAACACGAACAATTGAAGAAAGTCACCAATAGGCATACAATTGGTTAAAAAAACAAATTATTGGTTACATGACTGTCACACATCACACTGTTAAACGTTTTATAATATTATTTTAAAGTATTCCATTAGCTTGAATTTCGATCGATCAATTTAATTAAAATCATAAATGGGAAAACAATAATATTCTGATTGTTTAAACGCCTCTGGTTATAAAAGCTATATCATATATTACCGTATAATTATTAAAAATATTCGAATATTGTTTTAAACAATTACGCTAGCTGGAATGACAATAAATTTAAACAGAATCATCAATAAACGCACAATAACCTGGTTCTGTAATTCAACATCACGGTATTGTATTCTACAAATTTAACATCCTGCATTTCAAGAAGGTCGTCAAACGGCAACCACTAATCGTCACAGTGTCAGACAGTTGTGTGTGATTAAACTCCACTATTCTCCATAACTGTTAGTTGAGGTAGATCAGGTACTTGTTTCGTCTTTGATTGGCATTTAGTAATTGAATATATTAACACAGGGTACAATTTTATAGATACACAATTACTGAGTTTAATACTAAGTGACATTTCGACGAGGATACCTCTCATCTTTATCAAGGTACGTCTTGACGAACACACGACTTGATTAATTTCATAGGTTGCTCTCCCGTTACAAGATTGTTAACTGAAACTCAATGATATATTTATTGTGACATAGAACAAGGAACCAATCCATACCTTGACACTTGGATAAAATCACTGTCTTTCCCTGTGACACATCAAGAATTGAGTGTTAACAATTCTATGTGTTAAACGTAGAATAGAGTTATAAATATTTAATAGTTTTATGGTAAAACGTCATTTTAGATTTGAATAAATCAACCTTATCTAAACTAAACAACTATGATCGACTAACAGATTGTAACACGCTTGAAAATGAAATGAAAATATGTTTAACGTCTTATACAGTGTGCCTAAGGGAAATTTTGCCCGGTTCCTAGAAAATTCTTAAAAGTAAGCACAAAGTTATGCTTCACTCTTTCTTACGTAAGAAAATTTATAAAATACAGTGTCTAGAAAATTCGCAAGACCGTTCTTACGTGAGCACAAGTCAAGTATGAGTCTAAGCACATTGTGACTGGTAAACTGAGACCTACGATGCTCTCTCTAACGTCATAAAAACAATTTTGGTATGCGAATAACGCCATAAACTGATCGCTGCATAGAGTTATAAATAGGTCAATGACATTAACTTCCCGGCAAATGGTCGATTTTTATGCATTTGACATGTCCCCTATACACATGTAAAAAACGAAAGCACATGCAAACAGACGAAATAATTGTGAGAACGTCTGATCTTAAAGGGGCTAAGTCTCTAACTGAGTCTAACTCAATATCATTCAAAATCTTCGACATTGAAAACACGATTTATTTGCCGGTTTAAAGTAGCTAAGTCCGTAACTCAATATCATCCAAAATCTTCGACATTGAACACGCGAATTTTTTGGCAATTTAAATCAGCATCGGTGATGTGATCTTACCTGGAAAAGGTGGGCTTCTGATATCCAATATTTAAGACAAAATAAACATTTTACCATAGGTACACGAATCATAATGCGTACCATAATGCGTTTCAGCACCGTTTGTAACAAGGTGCTCAAAGAATAAGGCTAGACATATTCCACAAGTCATGTCAAACATGATATCATGTTCTTATTTGGAGAGCATGCGAAATAAATAATATCGGTGTTGACTGGAATAACCAGACGCTAGAAACTGACTTGCGGTTGAGACTTCTGACGTATTTCGCCGAACAGAACTGATGACAATTCGCAGTAAAACGGACACGATTGAATGTAAAACAGTTTATATATATTCATATTACATTATTATATGTGTTGCGACCCATTTTTGCCAATTTCTAGGTCCAAAATATTAGCGACTTAGCTCCTTTAAAGTAGACTGTGTTTTTGTGTTGTTTACTAATTTGTAAATAAATAAAATGGTTTCAGGGTAGAAGCGAAATTTTCTATAGTAATAGCATTCTTCCCGAGAATATGTTTCTAATGGATTTTCTCTGTCATTCAATTGTCTCTTTGGTATCAAAAGATGTAGGAAATGCCGTCGAATAACTCTACGGTCAGCCATCTTGTTTGAAGCAGAAACAGGCTTAAGGTTGGTAAGCAAGCCGTATACCTTGCTAGGGACAATCCTTAGATTGACAATGTTTAAGATCGAAGTTGTGCTTAAGTTTTTTTTGGGAATACATAATAACGTGCTTGTGCTTACACTGACGTCTTCTTAAAATCTAAGCTTAAGAACGTTCTTAAGTATTTTTCTGGGTGCAGAAAATAAGATAAGTATACCTGAATGCAAAGTCTACTTAAAATCTAAGCACTTTACTTCCGGTTGAAACGGCTGGTAAGGAAACATTGAAGCCGAGTCAAACCGGGTACCGGATCGAACCGTCATCATGAATATTCATTCTGTTTATGGGGACCTATTGTGAAATGGACGCGTTTAATATACGCCAGGGGGGTAACTAAAAATAATTGGAATTGTGCCCACTCAGCATTTGGATCTCCACGTATAAGTGTTTAGTAAGTGTGTCATATTGTCTAGTTTTCCAAGTGTGTCATATTGTCTGGTTGTCCGATTGATCTGACCTTTTGATTGTCATTTATTAAAACCATCTTATATACTAGAAATAGACACGATGTCATAGCTGCCATCTTAAATTGCCACAAATAGAATCACACCAACAGGTTTTCATTAATTTGGCTAAAGACGTTTTTTATATCTTTCTGTTAACTACGGTGTTTTATGAAAATGGAATTATCATTGTTATTTTGGGATAATCATTTCTCACTGGTCTCAGACCATCTTAACCTACAGTCAATACAGTAAGTCATTTAAGCAGGAATAATACTATTGATAATACTAATGATAAGAATGAGAAGTTGTCTCCGGTCTTCTGTGAGGATTATCTCTATATGTATCGGATTAGAGACAAGCAATATATGATATTTAGTTATACACTGTACGACAACAGTTGTCGATTATTACACAAATATATAACAAGTCTATACTTAAAGCAACCGAGATGGCGATTCAAATGAGTCGTTCAAGTCCTTAAATTGTACAGCGAATTTATAAACTATAGCTTCTATGTATCTCAGCGATTATCGTTAATTTAACTAACGATCCAGTTTCAACCAATAAAATCATTTCAACCAGAAAGATGTTATCCATAGCGTCTCTCTTTTATGACTCAGATTAATATACCTGACACTGACACTGGCACTGGCACGCTGACCAGGAGGTCCCAGGTTCTATCCCGCTTTGAGGGGGAGGGGGGAGAACGCTTTAACATGTACGCGCTAGATCACAAGGTCTGTCATTGAGTCAAGTTGCGTGGTTTCAATTCCCCGCTTGTACGTGACATGGAGTAGGGTCGCCTGTCCAACCTCGCGGGTTTTCTCCGGGTCCTCTGGTTTACTCCCACAGATATACTATTCAAAAAAAGTAGGGGATATTTGATTTTTAAGTGTTATTAAAGTCACCTAATGAAACTGACGAAGAAACAAATGACAAAATGAAATGAAGTTCACATTCATCGATTTATTCCAAATGACTAAGTAAGGCACAGACTGACCATTATAAGGGTAAAATGATACCCGGGGTCACGGGTAAATCCTCCTCTGTTTGCCAAACAAGCATTGATCCGACGTGGCATACTCCTAATGAGACGTCTAAGGTCGTTTTGGTCCAGATTGTCCCATTCCTGTTGCAACGCAGCAGCAAGTTCTTGGACATTGGCAGGACGTTGTTGACGTTGACGTAACCTCTGTCCAAGCATGTCCCAGACATGCTCGATGGGGGAGAGGTCGGGACTCAGTGCTGGCCAAGGTAATGTGGTGATGTTCTGTTGTTGGAGGTAACCTGTAACGATCCTGGCCCTGTGACATCTTGCGTTGTCATCCTGGAAGATGAAACGGCGGCCATGACGTCGTGCGAACGACACAACATGGACTGCCAAGATGTTGTCCCGGTAGTACTGGCCTGTAACACGCCCTGCAACAACATGTAAAGCCGTTCTTCCAGCAACAGTGATGCCTCCCCACACCATAACAGAACCACCCCCAAATCGATCATGTCTGATGACGTTAACGTCTTGGAAGCGCTCGTTTCGACGACGCCACACCCTTCTACGTCTGTCCAAAAAATCAACAGTGAACCTTGACTCATCTGAAAACATCACATTGCTCCAGCGTCGATTATCCCAGTGTTGACGATCCCTACACCAACGACGTCTTGCCTGAATGTGATGATCTCTCAAACAAGGGATCACGTGAGGACGTCGGGCGCGAAGGTGACCCCTATGCAGTCGATTCCGAATCGTCTGGCCACTCACTCTCACATCAGTGTCTGTTTGAAGACGAGCGCTGATCTGATTTGCTGTGATGACGCGATTTCTCAAGGCCAAGGTACGGATAAATCGATCCTGGGCTTGAGTTGTCGCCCTTGGTCGACCTGGGCGTGGTCTGTCCTGTACAGATTGTGTATCACGGTATCTGGACCATAGCCTGCTTATGACAGACTGAGAAACATTCATCGTCCGCGCCACAACCGCCTGTGTTGTGCCGATCTGTAGCATGCCAAGGGCACGTAACCTTTCATTTTGGGTAAGCCGACGCATATCAAAATTTGTTTTCTGGTCACTAAAACAATTAAACTGATGTTTCCACCCTGGAATTCAATGCCACAATGACTGTAACATTCAAAGTCAGAGTCGTGCAAATCTTGGGTTGGACCCCCATGATGATCCCAAGCATCACCTGCATTCCACGCGGTAGCTATTGGTGCGTTTGGGCGTCACATGTAACTTGAAATGTTTCTTCTGTTAGGTTCTATAGTGACTTTTTTCGTAGTCATTTGCATATTTTAGTATTATGCCCCCAAAATCAAATATCCCCTACTTTTTTTGAATAGTATATATAAGACGACAAGCGAATTATTGAACTAAATTTACCGTATGTTAGTCCCAAGATGTTTTCTCCGGGTCCTCCGGTTTCCTCTCACTTCTAAAGATCCCTACGTGCAAGTAAAATATTGGCGAGAAAAAGCATTAGTAAACTAGTGGTCATGGATATCATGGTGTTGGTCTAAACAGTATCTTCAGAAGTTTTCTGTCCAGTTTTCCAGTGTCACTGTCAGTAGTGCAGGCGGGGGGGTTGTACAAGCGATCCTACTCCTTGTCACGTAAGAACGGGGAATCCAACCCACGCCCTTTTGCGCAATGACAGACCTTATGAGCTCATGCGCACGCGTTAAACCATCCGAGGAAAGTCAGAAGGTTAAACACCATTTCATTTCATGCTATTTAGTTTAATGCTGTTTAATGGACCTACCTTGATAGACTAGATTTTTTCCTATGACGTGTTATCATCACTGTTTTAATACAATATATTGTATTCACGCCGGATATATTAAAATCGATTTTATATTTATTTTATTACAGTTATAAATGTTATATTAAACTAATGTATAATTTAAAGTGATGGCAATATAGTTTAAGTTTAAATAAATATCATATGGAAATAAAGAAACGCACAGTGACATTTCGTCGTCGGTATAGTCTCGCTCTACCATCGCCACGTTGTAACAGGAACCACGAATCGTCGCTGAACAAAACCGAGAATGATTTTGAAACCGAGAATCCCGAGATTTTAAAGGCCTTAGATTTGGGTTTTATGCGAAAAGCTTGCGGAGTTGTTAAATTCGTGTGTCTTGCTGCAATCAAGTGAAAACAAATTTCGGCAAAAAGTATGACCAGTCAGAATTAGTGACCCTACATTTAAAACCAATAATGAATTTTCGTTCAAATATAGAAAAATGATGAAAAATGGACTGTGCGTTTCTTTGTTTTGAAGAAGACAAAGAAGTCCGAACTAATAATAACAAAACCCCAGAACAATTCAGTGACAAAATGTAGGAGGTATGCGCAATTGGAGCTCTCTCCTATCGGTCGGAGTTTAGGGGTCCGGGGGTCCTCCCCCCCCCCCCCCGAGAAGGTTTTTGAAATTTCGACATGAATTGATGGTCGGTGGAGTGCATCCTGGGCGGGAAATCATATACTAGTTCGAAGGTGGCCCCATGTGCCATGGGTAACTACTTACCAATGCGATTCCGATTAACAATGTGATTCCAGTTACCAATGCGATTCCAGTTACCAATACGATCTGATTCTAGTTACCAGTACTATCTGATACGGTCTGTATCCAGTTACCGATACGATGTGATTCTAATTACCAGTACGATGTGATTCTAGTTACCAATAAGATCTGTATCCAGTTACCAATAAGATCTGTATCCAGTTACGATGTGATTCCAGTTACCAATACGATCTTATTCTAGTTACCGATACGATCTGTATCCAGTTACCGATACGATCTGTATCCGGTTACCAATACGATCTGTATCCAGTTACCAATACGATGTGTATCCAGTTACCAATACGATGTGATTCTAGTTACCAATTCGATCCCATTCCAGATACTGATGCCTTTTTATCAATACGGTACCATCTAGTTACATTACCCAATAGAGTGTGTTCCAAGATCACATTGCGTTAGCGTTCTTGCAGTGAATAGATATCACACCATTTTTATTAAATCTAATAGTCATTATCAGAACCATGTATGTACATATATATTTAATCAATGGATCTATTAGTCACCATCTGAAACATGTATAATACAGTCAATTATTGAATGAAATAACATTCACATTCCTTTCGTGACGTATTTATTGATCTTGTTTATTATTTACTAAGAATTTATGAGTTTTCTTAGTGGTGAAATATTTCTGCTGTAATTCAGAAACCTGCACCAGTTGGTGGTCGATATTAAAGGCCCAATACCACTCTTGTTGTAACTGAATAATATGTCCCAATCTTTATTCTGGTCAACAAATTGTACTATTTTACAATATTCCAATTAATTGATGATACAAATTTCATCTTAACACACCTAATTTAAAAAAAATTGGAAAAATTCAACTAAATGATTTGAAAAGCCTTACGTAAAGCTTTTCAAATGTGACTTGGATCTAAAAATATTTTTGAACCCTTTGGACAAGTAAAATAGGATTTAATGGAAAATTTACACAACAGGTGGGACACGAACACATCTAGTACTTAGAATAAGGCTATTTTTTATTTTCTGGAGCTGTCAAGCCAGCAAGAGTGTTATTGTCCCTTTAAAGAGATCGATAGCGGCACCAAAATGTCTATCGCGAACGTTGCTCACCAAGTCGGAAAAATTCGGTATTAAAGGAGTAGATATCGGCACCAAGATTTCTATTGCGAAAGTTGTTCACGAAGTTAGTGCCGCTGTACGGGCAAAATTCGCCTCATAGCACACTGTATGGCGGGCGCCCGTCTTCAATAGCCCAGTTCGGAGCAAAACAGTAGGACGTTAAAGAGAGGGAGAGAGAGAGTTTATCTAGGTCATTTCGGGACTAACATGGTTCAATTTTATTTCAACGATTCGCTTTGACCCGAGGAAAACCCAATAGATAACAAGGCGTAGGGTCAACCGTCCAACCTCGTGGCCTTTCTGTGGGTCCTTCGGTTTCCTGCTAGCTAAAAGACCTTTACGCGAAAACGAAATGAAATGAAATAGGGTTTAACGCTCTACTGTTCTGATCCGATTTGGCTAATGAAGGCGGACATCCGCCATGCAGTCTGCTATGAGGGAAAGTTTTTCAACTGCCAATGTTATTTTACGTGCACGTCAATGTTTACGCAGGACCTCGGGTTTCAGTACCATCCGAACGACTATACGTTATCCCTTGACAGACCCTCCGTCCTACACCACTGATAAGAGAGGAACCATGTCGGAACATCCGATGGACTTTCTCGGCCAACACAGGTATTGAACACGGGATATCCAGGTTAGCGAAACAACGTCTTACTCACTGAGCAACCGTGGCTCCATGCAAAAGCGCAATATTAAAATAAAATTGAACCATATGTTATTCCCGAAATGACCTAGTTTGTGTCTAGTGGGCATTGAACGCTACTTCTTTCTTTACTAGGGTTAGGGTTAGGATTAGTAGCCTATGTAAAGAATATTACATGATTACTTGAATAGAAAATAATAGTTAGACACGGAAGTATCTTTAATGTATTTATATCACACGTGACATCTGGTAGGTTAGATATTAAATTATATTATATTATAAAGCAAATCATATTAACTTTCAACAAATAGGCCGACAATACATAAATAATATCTATATTTATAGAACCTGGTAGCTTGATAATAAAACAAAACGATGTACAAAAATGGAATGAAATTGGGGTTTAACGTACTACTGTTCTGGCCTGAGCGGACTAATGAAGATGGGCATGCGCCATACAGTGTGCTATGGAGGACGCTTTTCCTGAACAGCGAAATGAAATGGGGTTATAATCCTACTGTTCTCATCCGAATGGCCTAATGAAGACGGGCATCCACCATGCAGTGTGCCAGCCAGCGGCGCTCAAGCCTTCTCTTATATCAAATTCCAACCGTCAAGGGATCTTTTTACGTGCACTCCAATGTGCACATGAGACCTCGGTTTTCCGTTCTATCCGAACGACTATACATTTCCCTCGTCGGGCCATCTGTCCTGCATCTGTGTGTGTGTGTGGGGGGGGGGTAATAAAAAGATTAAACTCAGTCGATTGATCAAAATAATGAAGTATATTTTTAGACCAGGGACTGTGTTCCAACTGCTATTCATCGTGTTCTATACAACACGTGAACTTAAAAGATCAAACATCTTATTGTTCTACACTACACGTGAACTTAAAGATCAAGCTTCTTGTTGTTCTATACAACACGTGAACTTAGTCTACATAGGCGTATGAGCCAGGCGGCGTGGGGGGGGGGGCACCTACCTGCTCCTCTAACTTTCCGGGCAACAGTCTGATTGGATGGTTGGAATTCAGGTCGGCATGGAGTGGGATTATCGTTTTACAGTGGATACATTCTAGTATTAATATTAATGCAAAATATAAGTAAATACAATTGTCTTGGGGCGAATTCCAATTTTCTCAAAGTGAATTCCGGTGTTTTAAAGTAATTTATTATTAATGTAAAATATAAGTAAATACGAAGATCTTAAGTGCAAATTCAGATATTTTGTAAGTGAATTCCGGTGTTTATATGTTTTCAGTGTGAATTCCGGTGATTTTATGTGCTTTAAAGTAATTCAATATTAATATTAATGGAAAATATAAGTAAATAGGAAGATTTTTCGGGCAAATTCTGATATCTTCAAAGGGAATTCCGGTGAATTCCGGTGTTGTTGTAAGTGAATTCCGGTGATTAGTCTACCCGAATGGAAAGAGGATTACAATTGTTTTTTTGTTTGTTTTTTTTCATTATTGAAAACTGAAATATATCATGATGTCAATTTCCATATCTACCCCACAGTGAACCCGCGATAAGAATTATACATACAACTATAATTGTAGCAGCAATCGATAATAACATGCCGTTTGGCCTTTTGAATGCTCTAACACATTTCCAGATATTCATGGATGGATATTTCGTAAGATATAATAAATAGTAAATAAGTGTGCTTGTTGTTATTACAGAGAATTATACATACAGCTATAATTGTAGCAGGAATTGATAATATCACACCGTTTGGCCTCTTTTGAATGCTCCAACGCATTTTCAGATATTCATGGATATTTCATAAGAAATAATAGATAGTAAATAATTGTGCTTGTTGTTATTACAGGTGATAAAATAAGAAAGTATGTGATATATCTGTATGTAGCTGGATGTTGTGTTCTGTCTATTTCCAGTAGTCTTTTAATTTATGCTACAACTTATTACCAAGTGGCTGTTTATTGTTTTGGTAAATAGCTTCGTCCATCTTATTATGATTAGATCTCCTTTTTTTTGTTCTGATCTGATGGTTTCCTCTAACCACTTCGTTACCGGTTAGACGTAAAAGTCTATTACTGTTGTGTAAATACGAACGAAATAAAAGAAGGGCTGTCCAATGTACGCAGTACCTACGTGTGCTTGGTCGGGTATATGAATGTCACAGCTTGTTCGTATCTAAGGGGGTGGGGAGGAGGGGTGACCGAATGGTTACGTGTGCGCGTTGTATCATAAGGTCTGTCATTGAGTCAACTGGGGTGGTTTCGATTCACCGGTCGTCTGTCCAATCTCGTGGGTTTTCTCCGGGTCCCCCGGTGTCCTCCCACTAGTAAAGACCCCTACGCGCAAGCGAATTATTGAAATAAAATTGAACCATGTGTTAGTGCCGAAATGACCTCATATCTCTCTCTCTCTCTCTCTCTTTCTCTCTCTCCACACACAGCTCAATATTACCTGGTGGCATTGTGAGGGGCTGCCCCCCCCCAGCCCCTTCCCCGCGCACACATTGTTTTTTTTGGGGGGGGGGGAATCTTGATCGTCGTGCAAAATCATGGGTCACCAGGCCCCTGGTTCAGATTGAGCTTAATGTCCATAACAATGTCAAACCACGGACATGACACGTCTTTGGGGGGTTCGTGTCTATAATTCTTACTTTTAAATAACAACATGTCAAAGATGGCACAGTTGAAACTGTTTAATGGGATTAGGTCTAGTCAAACGAAACACTGCGAGATTAACCAACGGTCGGCAGGGCCCTTATATAGGCTTCGAGAACGCCGCTACATTCCATCCATCTTGTTCCTGCATTCTGATCTACCTGATTAAAACACAGATCCTATATCGTTTCGTTTTTTTTATAGTTCAATATTTCATTATATGTGTATGTACTTCATGTAGTGTAGGCCATCGAAAGTATAAAAAAACTAAACGAAATATATAGATCTGTATTTTAATCAGATTGGCACTACCTGTATTAGAATAATTTTACAAATGAAATAAGTATAGACCGAATGGAATAACAAAGGAAATAAAATCATTCAATCGATCCCTGCCCAGCCAATGCGTCATAATATCACATAAATTGAACTATAATTTGTTTTAGTATAGGCCTTAGCGTTTCTCGTATCAAAAAGAATTCCTATAATTTCCGTGACATGTAGGGTGTGTTTGCGGTGGGTTTCATGCGCCCTTGCTTTTGGTGGGTACCTAGGCTTCAGCTTATTTACAATTTAGCCCACTGAATCAATGTGGCGTGGTTTCGTCGATCCCAAGTACAAGCGGGAAATCAAAACCGCGCCACTTGACACACTGTCAATGATAGACCTTCTGATCTATTGAGCACACGTTCAACCATTCGGCCACCCAACCCCTTATGCCAATGTGATAGGCTGTGTGCCACCTACCCCACCTGGAGGGTTTTCTCCGAGTCCATAGACGTACGAGCAGGGGGGTGGGGGGAATTTGACTTTTTGGGCAAACGGGTAAGGTGAAAACAAAAATTATTATTTCATCTAGTTGGCAAAATAAAGTGCCCGAAATCTAATAAAACACTAATTTACACGAATTTGTACTGAATTTACAATGGATTAACGCAATTTTTCTGGAGCCACCCTACTTTGTTTGACATTTTTCGGGCATCGATTATTATTTAATTTGTGAATTTAGCTGCAAGTCTGATTGAATGGTTGGAATTCAGGTCAGCATAGCGTGGGATTTCGGTTACAAACCGATTGGAAACTTTGGAGTAGCTTAATTCAAGGGCTAGAATAGCAGAAAACTGCATTTGCGGCGTTTAAATTTTCAAAATTTTCTCGGGGAGCGCGAGTCCCCCATACCCCATACTGATTGGTTGTTTGGGATTTGGGTCAGCGCGGTAGGCTATATTGGACCAAATTGAAGTTGCTCTATTCACAGGCTGGAATAGCAGGAAAACGCGTTTGCGGCAGTTAAATTTACAAAATTTTCTCCCAACGGACCCGTCTTCGTGGACTGTAAACGATTGATTGGAATTCGAGTCAGCCACCTTAATAAGGCTATATTAGACCACTTTGATTTTGCTTTGTACACGGGCTGAAATAACAGGAACACGTGTTTGCAGCCGTCAAATATTCCAAAAATTTCTTGGGAGAGGGGGGGGGGGGCATACGTGGTAAGCTCTGCTCCCTCGCCTCTCAAGGAAGACCGGCGCCGCTGTCTGTAAACCCGAAATTTTTTCGGGCATTTCGGGTTCCGCCCCCCCCCCCCCCCAACTGTCATCGAGCCCGTACGCCTATGCCCTGCTATATGTTGGTCCCGAAATGACTTAGTTTGTGTCAAGTTGAGGTTAAGCCACAGATTAACAGGCATTTTAACTTTATATATCTTCTTAAAAAAAAAAAATAACCGAAAATGATCCTTAGATAAGAAAAAAAAAATCCCCCGGGCACTTTCTACCCTTGTCAAGGCAATCTTAAAATCAGATAAATGTGAATTATAAATTTTATCAATACATCAAATTATAATAAAAACCAATATACTGCAACAACTCGAGGCTACCCATGCGTGAATTGTAATTTGAGCTTATACGCGAGAACAATACGACCTGTGGATCAAATCTTCCTTATTCAAGGGACATAACTCTATTAACCAAAACAAATCATGGCAGCTGTTACCGCGTTTGTACTAATTAATCAATTTTATATTCGTTCCTGATCTAACCATGGCATCTAAACACACGACATTATATCTTAGAATTGCCGAGGCTAAAAACTTGCTGCCAAAAGATCTGTGAGTATTTGTTGTTGTTTTCTTTTTGTTATTTTCTTGTTTTAATTTGTGGACGGTAAACTAGACTCGTACTTCGCAAACGACTTTAGGCAGTACATCACCTACGGGGAAACTAAAAGCTATTGACCTAATTAATCGACTTAGATTTGGTTTGAGGTCATCTCTAGTCATCCGCAGCATCCCCTGACAGTTTCAAGTATCTAGACCACGGGAAGTAATAAAGGGGTAAAAGTGCAATATTCAGCGCCCGATGTCAGTGATGAGCAATGACTTTACACTGTCGCTCAATAACATCTTGATAAGAGAAGTGAAAGAGCTGCATGGCCAATTCATTTACAAATAACTTAGATTGTCAGATATTATTCTAAAAAGGTGTTTTATTTATGCTTTAGAATTTGTTGAACAGTTAACTTTTGATGTGTAGAAATTAGAGTTAGGCCTACCTGTGAGAGATAAATGTGTCTATTATTTATTATGATACATTATATGATGCAAACTTCAAACAGTTTCATTTACTCTCAAATGGTTATTAAGTGCACAAACAATTACCAATACACAGGAGAACTTGATTGTTCAACAGACAGGATACAATAAACAGACATTCAACAACAATCAGATGAATGAGGTGGCCTGCCATAAGCCTTGATTAACTATCTACTAGCTCTTATCATTATCTGTCATTCGATGGGGATGATTGCAGTGACAATTTTGAAATAGAATAAAGGTTGGGTTTAATGTCTAACGAAGACGAACATAAGTCACAAAGTTTGTTATAGTAACAGGACACAATATACAGGCACCTCAAACAACAATGCACATACACATATCACATCGAGCTTAAAGGATCGGTGTGTGGGGGTGTAATCCTGTATCTATCATTTTAGTGCTATATCATACCTATAAACAGGTCACAATTCTATGGAATTCATGTACAAGTACAATCATAGGCGTACGAGCGCCCCCCCCATTTTGGGCACCAAATGCTGGGAAAATTTGGGCACACAATTGTACTTTGTAAAAGTTGTATAAAAAAATATTGTGTTCTTGAATGGGTCCAATTTAAAAACGAATTTAAATTCAGAGTGTCTATAGTCAGGAAATTAAATAGAAATCTTAAGACTCGAACCCTCTATTGTTTGGAGTACAGTAAGCCACGAATTACAGTTACATAAACAACTGTTTTTAGTTGTGTATATTACAAGTAAATAAAATTCAGTTCTCTTTTATTGATGATTTAGAAATTAAGAACTTATTCATCGCAAAAGAGATATTATGATTATTATGTAACATACTAAGAACCTAACTACATTTTTGGGGCACCAACCACCACCGCCCCCCCCCCCCAGTAAAAAATTTCCCCGTACGCCTATGAGTACAATAACACATACCTATGGAAAACCGCTAAAGATCTTGTTTTATTTATTTGGGCAACATTTCGAAGGGTATTAACTCTCAATGTTGTCAAGCTGATATAGTAATACAAATATGTAAGGCAAACCCACCCAAAATATTTTAACAACAAAATTTATTTCTCTATCCATTTACTAAATGCCTTTAAAAGATTACTGCCACTGGTACATTGTTTGTCTGTAAAAAAATCAGTTTTTAACAAAATCGACAGAATAATTTAATTTAGGACAAAACAACATAGAAAACCAAGAGGCTTATTAGCATTATTTTTTAAATATGGTACCATAACATTACTATTTGCGAAGAGTATATCAAAACCATTTAGCCTATTTTATAAGATTACCGTATATTTATTATGATTTTTTGTTTAATTTCGAAAAACTAAAGTTTTTATTACAGAGACAAGAATAAACAGTTTATTAAAATACACAAATCAATTTCCCCAAAGTCCCCGTTTACCCAGACCCGTTAAAGCTCACCGGAAAAACTTCATAAATTATTTAAATAATACAAGCAATTATGTCAACATATCCTTTCCATCAGTATAACACGAACCCGAATGTCAATGTTACAAGTAAATTTCAACATTAGAGATTTTTGCCGTTCTCCATGAGTTATCGTAACTTTCCAGCAATAAACAAGCCGTTATGTCATTTTAGTCCTGCTCATAGATGTATATGAGGATCACGTGGCTAAGTGGGTAAGACGCTGGCTCGCTAGCCTGGAGGTCGGGTGTTCGATCCCTGCATTGGCCGAGAAAGTTCATCCAGATTTACCGGCGTGGTTCCCACTTGTCAGTGATGCAGGCCGGAGGGCCTGACAAGGAAAGCTGTCTAGTCGTTCGGATGGGACGAAAAACCGAGGTCCCATGTACACATTGGCGTGTACGTAAAAGACAGTTGGAATTCGATATAAGAGTAGGCCGTAGTGCCACTGTCCGGGCAAAATTTCCCTCATAGCACACTGTATGGCGTATGCCTGTCTTCATTAGCCCAGTTCAGAGCAGAACAGTAGGACGTTAAACCCCTTTTCATTTTATAGAAATATAGACTAGAATATAAGCAGAAGGACTAAAATGACCTTTAATAATTCACTGAAAATATGAGGCCTATTTTTATTGATCTAATTGTGTGTAGTACAATTTACCTAGATCCACCATTACTTCAACTCGCATCACATATATTGATTATTGATATTACTGGTATACCGTTTTTTTTACTTTAATAGTGTTTTTGTGTAAATAATGCCCCAAGGGACTAGATAACAAACCTCATATCTCAACCCTCCGTGTTTCGAGATAAGAGATGGTGCTATTTAGTTCCACGTAGCAAATCCCAACATAAATCACACCGGGCCTCAGTAATAAAATTGACAATATTTTTCATCAAAACAACGACTGATTATTGTTATTTATAATATTTCTGCCACATCCAACCACAATTAAAATTGAAATTGAAATAATGGTGGATTTGGGTAAATCGTTCTACCGTCAAATACCATCGTTACAGTGTCTTGCTAAAATACCTGCGCTTTATCCAGAATTCTCTTGCATACAGTTTTTGATCAAAAACTAAAAAGAAATTTACGTGTATGAAAATAAAACATTATATTGGACAGGATGATTTGCTCCATGGGGCGATAACTCCCAATACCTACCAAATACCGTACCTCATGAAAAACTAACACTAGGGGGTATTGGGTTACTGGCCCATTATCAAACAGAGATAAGATCAGCTCATTTTCTATTCTACTAACGACACAATCTTTTTAAATAAAATTATATGATATATATATTATAATTTCCCCCATAATCTGTCTTACAGATCAAATCAACCCAATTCAACAGTTGACCTAAAATTTAATGGTTGAAAGATCAACCTATGTTCAGATTCACTATTAACATAGAGTGTCAAAATGATACTAATATTTCAATTTTTAAACAAAGAATAATTTGATAGTTTCCACATCACAAATCCTATTAAACATTCACTGATAACATTATGTTGATCGTAATACATTGTATACAATAGCTAGGCGTGTGTATAATACAATACCTGACCTGTATGTAATACAATATTACGTTATTGATTGAAATTGTAATCAATAAGAACATGCCGTTTTGTTAACATCACTGTGAGGTATGAATTAAACACTGAAAAGAGCGTGAATAAATATAGTCAGTCAGTATAATGAGATTTCTTATATTTTTTATCACAGAGAGCCTTGCAAAGGACAACGTCAGTAGTGGATTATCAGTGAGGCTGATGAGGCTGCAGCCTCAGGCCCAAAGATTTTGTAAAAAAAATTTTTTTAGACTTGTCTGATACGATTAAAAACACATAGACAATGAATGTTAGGGGGGTGGGATTTAGGCCCAACGGGAATCAACATAGGCCCTGATCCGAAATTAATTAGGCCCACGCCATTTTAAATAGGCCCTATTGTTTGGAGATCTGATCTTAATTTTTAAACGTAGGCCTACAATGTACGTTAAACCCTTGTTAGTTTTCGGTTATGTCTTGCTTAATATCAATATCCACGTGACTTCATTTATGGGCATATAAAGTTACATTACGTTTTTAATGTTAGCAACTACCTTAGCTCTAACTTTAAAAACTAAATAGGCCCTCCAGCAACTGCCGCCTCAGGCCTTGGTGGAGCTTAATCCGCCACTGGACAACGTATAGTCCTACAGTTGGAACGAAAAATCGAGATTCTATCTACACATTTTCCGACTTGGTTTCCCCTTGTCAGTGGTGCAGAACTGAGGGTCTGACAAGGACAGCTGTCTAGTCCTTCGGATGATACGGAAAACCGAGGTCCCGTGTATATATTGGCATGCACGTAAAAGAACCCCTGACATACAAAATACAAATACAACATTTAAGAGTAGAATGTAGCGCCGGTCTGAGCAAAATGTCCCCCAGCATGGCGTATGCCCGTGTTCATTAGCCCAGTCGGAGCAGAACAGTAGGACGTTAAACCCCATTTTATTTTATATTTTTAATCTTTGATGTTATTAATTTTGAGGGTTGAGTGATAACTATTCAGATTACTCAGCTTATGATTTAAAGGGGGGGGGGAAATAAAAATGGTGAATTGTGTTAGTTCTATCAGTGATTTGAGGATTCAGCCGAGTAAACAGCCAGTTCATAGGGGGTGGGGTTCAGGAATTTGTGTAGCAGGGGTTCCAAAGTGGAGATAACCTCAAGTTTGGTGAGTGGTCTGAGGAATTGCCTGAGAATTTGGTAAAATCCGAAGGTCTGACTCTGAGACAATTTGTCTGCTCATTTGGATTTAGGTGCATTTAGAGTGGGATGGGGTCAAAACAGCAGCAATTCTTCAGATGTTTATTTGATGTTATTTCAATTAATGTAAGAGGAAAAAAATACACTCTGCACGAGTAGTGGATTAATGTCTTCTTGACTCTTTGCAAAATAGACACCATATTATAACATGAAACTAAATAGATATGTAACTGGGTAGCAATTCAAATGTCCTTTCTGACAATTCAAGAGAGTGAAGAGACAAATGGGGGTTTAACATCCACTCGACTCAAACTAGTAGGTCATTTCGGGACTAAAATACATGTATGTTTGAATATTATTTCAATAATTTGCTTGCGCATAGGGGTCTTTAGGAGTGGGAGGAAGCCGGAGAAAACCCACAAGGTTCTTGTCATGTACAAGCAGGTAATTGAAACCAAGCTACTTGACTCAATGACAGACCTTCTAATCGTTTAGCCATCGAACCCCCCAACATTTCAAGAAGTGATCAGGAAGTGGTTCAGTGGGGCTTGTATTTTCTATAACTATCAGACACAAATACTTGATTGTAATTTATATTTTTATAGCAATGGTAAAAGTGATCCATATTGTGTTATAAAAGTTGATAATGAGATTATTTCACGGTAAGTTTTACGTTTTGTTTTTATTTTAAAACTACCTGTAAAGGCTTTGATTATAAAATATTCTAGTTTTGATTGTAGAGTTAGCCCCTCCCTCATCCTTCGGACACATCAACTGACACATCTAGGTTTAATGAGTTTGTACAGTTACATGTAGTCCATCCTAGGATCGCAACACCTGTCACATCAAGGTTTGTTTAGACTGTAGAGTTAGTCCCTCCCCCAACGTTCGGACACAACAACTGTCACTGTTATTCATTACCTACATGTAAGATTTGTTTGAATCAAAAAAAATGAAGTATCAGTAAACTGTATTGGTTCAAAGATGGAGAGAGAAATGGGGTTTAACGTCCACTCGACACAAACTAGGTCATTTCGGGACTAACATATGGTTTAATTTTATTTACATAATTCGCTTGCGCGTAGAGGTCTTTAGCAGTGGGAGGAAACCGGAGGACCCGGAGAAAAACCACGAGGTTGGACAGGCGACCCTACTCCTTGCCATGTACAACCGGGGATTCGAAACCACGCCAGTCGACTCAATGACAGACTTTATGATACAGCGCGCGCACGCTAACCATTCAGCCATCCAACCCCCCGGTTCAAAGAGTAGGTTTTTTGGGATATGGGGTTGTGTCGGCTAAGGGGGTAAGACGCTGGCTTGCTAGCCTGCAGGTTAGGTCTTCGATCCCTGCATTGGCCATGAAAGTTCGTCTAGATTTCCGTCATGGTTTCCCCTTGTCAGTGATGCAGGACGGAGGACCTGACAAGGAAGGTCCCGTTTATACATTGGCGTGCCCGTAAAAGATCGCTTGACAGTTGGAATTCGATATAATAGTATGCCGTAGTACCGCTGTCCGAGCAAAATTTCCTTCATAGCACACTGTATGGCGTATGCCCGTCTTCATTAGCCCAGTCGGAGCAGATCAACAGCAGGACGTTAAACCCCGTTTCATTTTATTTTTTGGGGTGGGGATATACTATTCCTGTATAGGTTCAAAGATGTGAATATATACATGTACCTTTATTGTTATATTTTAAAGCACTGCTACTGTCTATAAGAACTTGGAGCCACTATGGGGAGAAGAATACACTTTACATATGCCGTTTGGATTTCAAGATTTATCTGTAAATGTTTACGATGAAGACAGGGTCAGGTAAATATTTTGTCATTCAGGGGTGGACTGGGCCTCTGACCATTGGACATGATCCTAGGGTGCATCGGCCCCATTTGAAAAAAAGTTGATATATATCTTGTCACTCAGAGGTGGACTGGGCCTCTGAACGTTGGACATGGTCCACTTGATAAAAAAATAATATATAGTTTTTTCAAATAAAATTTATCTTTGTATTCAGTGAAACAAAACAATGGCGTTAATCTGAGGAGAAAAATGATGAATGGATAGGATATGGTAAAGGTGAATCAAAGTAGATTTTCGTTTGTTTTCTCATCATGTCACAAATTCTTCATTCCGATCGAGGCCCAATGAAACAATATGGTCCCAGGACCCAGAGCTGCCCAGTCTGCCCTGATTTCATTCATTTTTAAGAAGATGACCGAACCAACAAATTGATTGATTGGGTGTTGCCTCGCTTGTTGATCAAATCCTCGTTGTTGTTATTATTAAAACATAAAACAGCGAATACTAACGCTAAAACCTAAAGTTTTAGCATGTCACACACAAGAATTGTGTCCGTAACTGTTTTATTTGTTTGACCCTGGCTGTTTTATTTGTTTGACCCTGGCTGTTTTATTTGTTTGTCCTTAGCTGTTTTTATTTGTTTGTATATTTTTAGTGGTGATGATATAATAGGAAGCGTTTCTATAACCAGGGAAGTTATTCATCAGCTGAGTGATCCACGAGGTATGAAATATTGTATTTATACACCAACTGAGATATGATATATTGTAGTTATACACCAGCTTAGTGAACCTTGAGGTATGATATATTGTAGTTATATATCATATGAATATCTCGGGGAAAACTGGCTACTGTGATTTCTTTTCAACACATGTTAGCCTGTGGTGGCAAAGAATAACATCTTACAGTTTACACACTTTATTTGGCTGTTTTTTGCTACACATGGTTGACAATCGAATTATTGAAACAAACAAAATTGAACTATGTGTTAGTCCTGAAGCGACCTAGTTTGTGTCGAGTGGATGATAAAATCCATCTCTCTCTCTCTCTCTCTCTCTCTCTCTCTCTCTCTCTATCTCTCTCTATTTATCTTGAGTTTGATTGGTAAACTAATACAATTGATTGTTTAAGGGTTACTACTAATTATTTTATTTTAGGATTAGAAAACTGGTTTCCGCTACAGAAACTGGACAAAGATTGGGAAATTCAAGGAGAAATATTATTAGAATATGGAATTCGTCCGTCAACAAGCGAACCTGGTTTATATCAGTTTTATATAATAGTCATAGAAGGCAGGTAGGTAAAAATACACAAATATTTTATACATGATTTATACACGGTTTTACAGTCATAGAAGGCAGGTAGAAAAAATACACAAATATTTTATACATAATCACCAGTCTTACACGTTTTACACTTTAAAATTTATATTTTTTTATGGACTATTTTAAGCAAAAGGAATCAATTACAAATTACAATATTATGAAAGATGGATTTCTAATAGGAATATCAGTTTAAAACAGGTTCAGTTGGGTTCGTTATTTACAAAGATATGATGAATTGAAATGTCATTGATTTAGCTGTTCGCTATTCACTAAGTCCGCCGCCATTTTGTTAACCACGGAAATTTAAAGATGGCCAGTTTTAAATCCGATTGAATCCAAGCCTGGACATTATCTGACATTTTCATTTTGTTTTCTTTATTGAATATGGTCGGGGGGGGGGGGGGGGGAATGGCCGATGTGTCAAAATCTCTAATTTTATCTGAAGTGTATTAATAATCAGCTTGTTATAGGTCAGGGAGAGAGAGAGAGAGAGAGAGTCATTTTGGGACTAACATATTGCTCAATTTTATTTCAATAATTTGCTTGCGTGTAGGGGTCTTGAGCAGTGGGAGGAAACCGGAGGTCCCAGAGAAAACCCACGAGGTTGAACAGGTGACTCTACTGCTTGTCACGTACAACCGGGGAATCAAAACCATGCCACTTGACTCAATAACAGACCTTATGATACAACACACATTCCCTCACCCCGTGTTTATGTCAGGTTGTACTTCAAAAAGACTTGGTGTCATTTATGTTATTTTTTTCTCTAGAGATTTAGCACCAAAAGATAAGACTGGATATTCTGATCCATATGTTGCCATTGCATGTCTGGGTGATCTTAAAGCAACATCTGTAAGTACTCTAGAGATAACTACATAACCACTGACGTTTTAAATCTAAGATATTAATATTGATCAAAAACTCACGGAGAGTTCATTTTCAGAAATTCAATTATTGCTAAAATCTATGATATTAGGTAAATTAAAGATAGAACTCATTGCTAATTCCAGTTATGTCTTTCTCACTCTGAGTCGACTGTGTCACTGTAGGTGTTGTATTCATGAATATTTGTTCTGGTTTGTTTTGGTTCGGTTTTATTTTATTTTTTATTTTTTTTATATCACAGAGGCAGAAAAAGACGAGGTTTCCTGAATGGAATGAAATATTTGAATTTGATTTGCCCTCTGTTTATGATGGAGAGAACGTAGTGATAACAGTTTATGACAAGGACAGGTTACGAGCTGATGATTTCATGGGACAAGTTGGTTGATAATAATAATAATATGTCTATATAGCTCCCGGGGGGGGGGGGGGGGTTGGATGGCCGAATGGATAGCACGCACGTGCTGTATCATAAGATTGTACGTGACAAGGAGTTGGGTCGCCTGTCCAACCCGTGGGTTTTCTCTGGGTCTTCCGGTTTCCTCCCACTGCTAAAGACCCATACGCGCAATCGAATTATTGAAATAGAGTTGAACCATATGTTAGTTCCGAAATGACCTAGTTTGTGTCGAGTGGACGTTAAACCCCATTTGTCTCTCTCTCTATATATAGCTACAGATCCACAAAACATGCTTTAAGCTCAAATGAAAACTATATACAAAAGTTCATTGGCTCTATTATAATGAATTTTAAAAAAATGAGTTTTTAAACATAGCTTATGCAAGAGCTAAATCTGCCTATTGCAGGTCTTTCTTTGCCTGAAATGTTATCTAAATTATTAATTAGACTTTAATTAACTTATCCAAAACATAATCATCACTAGCCTGCGATATTTACTGGATTAGGATCCGACCTGCTGCTCATCGCTCATTCATGATTATATAAAAAAAATGGATAATCGAGACTATCTTTTTATCGTACTGACTTTAGTAATGATGATCGAGGCTAAAAGCTAATATCTCGGTTCAGAGTGGATCAATTTGACTGAAATTTTCTGCATATCTCCTTTACATTATCTAGTTTTTAACTATTATAGTGAGAACTGGCAACTCTTTATCTAATCTCCCATAATGTATCTTTAATTGAGATTCAAGAAAGAATTCACAAAATGCAGTTCAACTGGGAGTGAATTCCATCTGACAGCAGCGACAACAACAAATGCTCTATGCCCAAAGTTTCCCAGTTCAATATCAGTATGATGCCTAGATCAATTACATCTCAAGGGAGATAATACAAACATTGTATTTCCTGTCGTAAAACTGAGCTAAACATACATTATGCAAGAGCTAAATCTGTCTATTGTAGGTCTTTCTTTAGGCCTGAAATGTTTTCTCAAGTATTACTTAGACATTAATCAACTGATCCAGGCCTTAATCAACTCTCGATGGCATCAGATTTCTCCGATATTAAATAGATTAGAATGGTTCAGCGATACTTTGATTTAATCAAATATGGAGGATCGAGACTTAGCTTCGATCAACCAGTACGGTGGTTGAAATTATTGCACACATCTGTCAAACCTTCAAAGGCTAATATCTTCGCTTGCAATAGAGTAATTTGAATGAAATTTTCAAATTATTCAGTTTACATCATCTACTTTCGAACTATCATAGCAAGAATGGCTAGTTCTTTATCTAAATCTTACATAATGTATCTTTAACGAACAGATCAACTCTCCATGTTTGACCAAAATGTCTCAGGATCCATCGGTCAATCTACACGCCCTGAAACGAGCCTCAGATTGTACAGGAAAACTGCTAAATAACATATAGACAAAACAAACTAGTATCCCATCACCATGACTACAAATATGATCATTTATTTCTGATTATTTTAGATACATCTGCCTTTAAGTCAAATTCCCCTCAATTCAACTAAAAAATGGCATCCTGTGGCCCACAAAACTGAAAATAGAAGTACGACGTCTGAGAGAAGAGGAAGGTAAATATGCAATCTGATTAAATGAAATGAAATGGGGTTAAACGGGGCTAATGAAGGCAGACATACGCCTTGCAGTGTGCTATGAGAGAAATGCAGGACGGAGGGGCTGACAAGGACAGCTGTCTAGTCGTTCGGATGGGATGAAAAATCGAGGTCCCGTGTACACATTGGCGTGCACGTAAAAGATCCTTTGGCAGTTGGAATTCGATATAAGAGTAGGTCGTAGTGCCGCTGTCCGGGCAAAATTTTCCTCATAGCACACTGTATGGCGTATCCCCGTCTTCATTAGCCCAGGTTAGGAGCAGAACAGTAGGACGTTAAACTCCATTTCATTTCATTTTTCATTTCAGAAATTTTGCTCGTACATTGGTGCTATGCCCTACTCTTATATCGAATTCCAACTGTCAAGGTTTCTTTTATGTGTACACAGAGCCTCATTTTTTCTTTTTGTCCCATCCGGAGAACTATACCACTGACATTTGGGAATCAACCAGCCAACACAGGGATTGAACACTTGATCCCCAATTTAGCAAGCCAACGTTTTACTCACGAGGCACTGTGGCTCCCAAACCTGAATAAATTACAGATCTAGTTGTAGTGGGAGGTTGCATCAGGGGTCATACAGGTCACTTTTGACCCTATGACGTCAGTCATTCAGTTAATCAATTAGCGTTGGTGTGTCAAGTGGGTGTTCGGAAATACAATGTTTTTCTATCGCTACAGATATATATACCCACAGTTCCCTGTGCTAGACTATAAGAACTCGACTAAGTGGACCATTTGATTGGCTAATGCCTCACAACAACCAAAACATGGATTAGTTAACAATTGTTTCAGATCCTACATTTGCAAAAGACAACTGAAACAAAATTTTGAACAATAAAAAGATTGAACAAATGATAAGTTTAGATATCTGTGTTTCAGTAATTAATGATGATAGTTTTAAATATCTGTTTTTCAGTAAAGTAGATCGAGGTAAAATACGATTGAAGATATTTTTATTAGAAGAAGTTGTTTTACCAGTCACATGTTATCAACCAATCATAGATTACCTTCTACAGGCAGCTAAACCATATAAGGTAGGGTATAGACAGACAGCTAAACCATATAAGGTAGGGTATAGACAGACAGCTAAACTATATAAGGTAGGGTATAGACAGACAGCTAAACTATAAGACAGACAATAGCTGATTGAGATGTATATCAATAATTTAATCCAACTTTTTTCGGTAATAAACCACTGTTGTATTCATTAGAATATTCAGTTCAATTATTAAGTAAGCCATTAAAACAGTTGATTAATCATACGTCCATTTTGATTTCAGCACAAGAAAATTGGTCTACCATTTTGGATGTTATTGAATGATGTTCGACGTTTAGATCTTGGTGAAACAGGAGCTGCTCTGGTTAGATTCTATCTCAGTCAGGATTCAGATATTTCATTTCTAGATTGTATCACAAAACAGGATATAGACGAGACAGGTACAGTTATTCCCCTTGTTTTTGCCTTGGTTGGGGGGTCGAGTGGTCCAACGAATACACTCTAGATCATATGCTTTATCATTCACAAGCTCTGTGGTTTCCAATCGAAATTGTACATGACAAGGAGTAGTGTCACCTGTCCAAATACTTTGTTTTTCTCTGGGTCCTCCGGTTTTCTCCCACCGCTAAAGACCCTATGCACTCCAGTTTTCTCCCACCGCTAAGGCCCCTGGGTACTCCATTTTTCTCCCACCCCTAAGGACCCTGGGTACTCTGCTTTACTCCCTCAGAAAAGATCCCTGCATGGATGAACTTTCTCGACCTCCAGCTGGCTAGCAATCTAACACATCCTGTTTTGTATTTAAAACTGTTGTTTTTAATTATATGGGTTTTTTTGTGTGAATATTTTGTTGTTTTATTTTCAGATGATCCGAATACATTGTTCCGTGGTAACAGTCTGGCTTCTAAAGCCATGGATCAGTATATGAAAGTAATAATTTATATATTTATAACCAAGAATTGGGAGAGAGAGAGAGAGAAATGGGGTTTAACGTCCACTCGACACAAACTAGGTCATTTCGGGACTAACATATGGTTTAATTTTATTTCAATAATTCGCTTGCATGCAGGGGTCTTTAGCAGTGGGAGAAAACCGGATGACCAGGAGAAAACGCACGAGGCTGGACAGGCGACCCTACTCCTTGTCACGTACAACCGGGGATTCGAAACCACGCCAGTCGACTCAATGACAGACTTTATGATACAGCGCGCACGCTAACCATTCAGCCATCCAACCCCCACCCCCCCAAGAAATGGAGGTTGGATGACTGAATGGTTAGCGCACCCACCCCCCCAAGAAATGGGGGTTGGATGACTGAATGGTTAGCGTGCGCGCGCTGTATCATAAGGTCTTTCATTGAGTCAACTGCCGTGGTTTCGAATCCCCGGTTGTAGGGTCCCCTGTTCAACATCATGGGTTTTCTCCGGGTCCTCCGGTTTCCTCCCACTGCTAAAGACCCATACGTGCAAACGAATTATTGAAATAAAATTGAACCATATGTTAGTCCCGAAATGACCTAGTTTGTTTCCAGTCAACATTAAACCCCATTTCTCTCTCTATCTCTATAAACAAGAAGGAATGGTTTACACCCATTACAAAAGAAATGAAATGGTCATTTAAAGTCCAGCATTTCTGCATATAAAGATAAGCATATGCCATTTGTTGTGCTATGGATTCATTGAATTCTTAGTCTTGATGGAGGGGGGTTGGATGTCTGAATGGTTAGCGTGCGCGCGCTGTATCATAATGTCTGTCATTGAGTCGACTGGCGTGGTTTCGAATCCCCTGTTGTACGTGACAAGGAGTAGGGTGGCCGGTCCAACCTCGTGGGTTTTCTCCGGGCCCTCCGGTTTCCTCCCACTGCTGAAGACCTCTCTCTCTAAGTCTTGATGGTTCTTCCATGTGCACGCCAACGTGTACACTGGACCTTGATTTATCGTCCAATCGATGTCAATTCGTCTGTCCTACAAAATTGACACGGGAAAACTGCAAAGGAAAATCCCGAGGAACTTTCCCATCCAACATCTGGATCTACCCCAAGACCTCAGGCTGACTGACTAAGGGGTACATCTGAATCTTAAATCAGTCATCTATGCAGTCATGGGTTATACCACAAGATAACCACAGTATAAAATAATATAAAGATTGATTGTATGTTTGCTTTAAAGCAACGTGGTGTGAGTGGATGTTAAACCAAGGTTTATTTTGTAGCCAGTTCTAGGAGGTATTTCCATAAACGTTCCTATTTGTATCAAGGGGTGTTGGATGGCTGAATGGTTAGCACGTGCGCGTTGTATCATAAGGTCTGTCATTGAGTCAACTGGCAGGGTTTCGATTCCCCAGTTGTACATGACAAGGAGTAGGGTCTACTGTCCAAACTCATGAGTTTTCTCTGGGTCCTCCGGTTCCCTCTCACTGCTAAAGACCCCTTTGAACATGTGAGTAATTACAGTTAAAATTGAACCATGTGTTGGTCCCAAAATGATCTAGGTTGTGTTGAGTGGACGTTAACCCCCCTCTCTCTCTCTCTCTCTCTCTCTCTCTCTCTCTCTCTCTCTCTCCCCATATTTGTATCAATTGTGATTATTTATTATTACAGATAATCGGTATGCCTTATTTACATCAGACATTGAATTCTTGTATCGAGCAAGTTTACTCAGATAAGAAATTAGTTGAATTGGATCCACATCGCGTTAACAGTGTCAGAAGGTACGTGGATTTTATTTTAAGGATTTATAACGGCACATTCTCCTTTTATTTTGGGGGCTGCTGTAGGTCAGTAAGGAAGACGTTGGGTCTCCTACCCGGACGTCCCCTGTACACATTGTTGGGCACTGAAATGAAATGAAATGGAGTTCAACGTCTTACTGTTCTGTTCTAAACTGGGCTAATGAAGACAGGGCACTTAAAAGAACACTTGAGAGTTGGTATTCGATATAAGAGTAGGCTGTAGTGCTACTGACCCGGCAAAATTGCCCTGAAAGCACACTGTATGGCGTATGTCCGACCTCATTAGCCAAGTCGATTGCAGAACAGTAGGATTTTAAACTTCTTTTCATTTGACACAAAACATAGCATTGTCAATTTTATTGTTTTTGATGTGCTGATGTGATCCTAGATATGGCACTCCCTCTCTTTGTTGTGGGGTTGGGTGGCCGAATGATTAACGCATGCTCGTTGGATCAGTACGTCTGTCATTGAGTCAGCTGGCGTGGTTTGGATTCCCCGCTTGTAGATGATAAGGAGTAGGGTCGCCTGTCCAACCTCGTGGGTTTTCTCCAGGTCCTCCAGTTTCCTCCAACTGCTAAAGACCCCTACGTACAAGCGAAGTTTTGAAATCAAATTTAACCATATGTTAGTCCTGAAATAACCATGTTTGTGTCAAGTGGACGTTAAACTCTCTTTTACTACAGCCTAATTTTATTTTGTTTTTGGCACATATTATTTTTTTAGGTCTTCATTGAACACTGTTTATTAGTAGTATAACATCTGGGGCATATTATTTTTAAATCTAAGCTGACCCAAGTCGACTTTTGTCGACACTTATAACATTACAGTTAAGTTCCCACGATGACTTTTATCGACAAAACGGGTTACCTGAATGCAACTTTACTGGCGTTATGAGAGTTACTTCCCTTATAAACACACAACTTTCACTTGTTTACTTCCTGACATTTTGACAGTTAAAAATCATACTGTTTCTTCTTGAATAATTATAATATAACGATGATATTGTCTAGGCCTACACAAAAACGTAGTTTTTATGACGTTATGGTGTCAAACCTCTGGCACACTTAAAAGTTACGTACCTTATTACAAAACGGTGGTTAATGATATATAATAATAGCAGCTGTTTATTACTCACGAAACATAAGATATTTACTCTGCACCTTTAAGTTTCAGACCAGCACTGTGCAATAGTCTGTAAGTAGAGGTCTATTTCTGTTTGTGCTTATGTTTTGCATACTCTTCAGTTAAAACAAACTCTGTGCTACTACTATTAATAATAATAATAATAATGATAATTACATTTGTTTACCTACCCTATAATAATGACATCAACAACATTTGTCTGCTACATGTCCCAAAATATAACATTAACATCATTTGTCTACATGTCCTATAATAATAATATTGTCAACAGTTGTTTAACTACCCTATAATAACATCAATAACAGTTGTTTAACTACCCTATAATAACATCAACAACAGTCCTTTACTTCTCCTACAATAACATCAACAACAGTTGTTTACCTATCCTATGATAACATCAACAACAGTTGTTTACCTCTCCTATAATAACATCAACAACAGTTGTTTAACTGCCTATAATAACATCAATAACAGTTGTTTACCTCTCCTATAATAACATCAACAACAGTTGTTTACCTCTCCTATAATAACATCAACAACTGTTGTTTAACTACCCTATAATAACATCAACAACAGTTGTTTAACTACCCTATAATAACATCAAAAACAGTTGTTTAGCTACCCTCTGATAACATCAACAACAGTTGTTTAACTACCCTATAATAACATCAATAACAGTTGTTTAAAATAACATTTGTTAACCTACTAATACAACATTTGTATTTAAGTGCATTGACCCTATTTTGGAATGTTTTTTTTAGCTTCTGGTTAGTTCATAATACAAATTGATATTATCTTTAAAATTTCTGTTTCAGACGCAATAATTTATTTTTTTAAATTCTAATTTTCCTGACACAAAGTTATCTGTCGAAGAAAGTTTATAATACAATTTCAACATTTATATTTCAGGGCCATAGTTTATTTTAACTTGTAATTTTAATTTTGATATTTCGTCTCAAAGTTATCTGTTGCATAAAATTTGAAATTTTTGAACATTTATGTTTCAGATGCCATAATTTAGTTCTGTGATTCTAATTTTCCAAACCAAAGTTATCTGTCACACAATATTTATGATATACTTTTAAAAATACATTATATGTAAGATTTAGATAAAGAGCTGGCCATTCTTGCTATAATAGTTCGAAAAAAGATAATGTAAAATGAATAATTTGAAAATTTCATTCAAATTACTCTATTGGGAGCGAAGATATTAATTTCAACCACCGTACTGGTTGTTGGAGCTATGTTTCGCTCATCCATTTTTAGCTTAAATCAAAATATACTTGAACTGTTTAATATCGGAGAAATCCGATGTCATCGAGAGTTGATTATGGCCTGGATAAGTTAATTAATGTCTAATTAATAATTTAGATAACATATCAGACCTAAAGAAAGACCTGCAATAGGCAGATTTAGCTCAATAGGCAGATTTAACTCGTGCATGATGTATGTTTAATTTTATGTTTCAGACGCCATAGTTTACATAAAGAGTCTGAATCAGACTTTATACAATCTAGTCAAGATATTTTATTATCGTATATGATAGAAATCATGGAGGCCATTTACACGTCAGTCGATGATTGTCCCCTAAAAATGAGATTAGTTTTTAGAAACCTGACACAACGAGTGAAAGAGAAATGGCCAGAAATTGAACATAAGGTAATATCATTTGTTTAAGTCACTTTCCCTCATAGCACACTGTATGGCATATGCTCGTATGCTGTTAAACCCCATTTGATTGCCTCCTGGGTGCAAGTAAGGGATTTATGCATAGAGGATCTGATTTAATTTGATAAATACATATGTTCTAATTGTTCTCCATTGTCAGTATATTAGCTATGGTATGAGTTTGTTTAAAATGCAAATTAACTAAGAGAGGAATGACTGTTGAGGTTTAAGTTGCAGCATCTGGGTTGAGAGATAGAGAGATTATTTTTAATCTAAGCTTGTAACCTATGTATCCAGCTTGATATAAAACTGTAGAAACTGTACTTTTGTTCCTGTCATCTTATTTGTTAATCTTACGATATTTTGGGGACTGATAAAAGATACACACTTGAGATGTCAAAGAAACATTAAAAGGATCCTAAGGATATAGATATGTTCCAAGATATGTTCCAAGATATGTTTCAAGATATGTTCCCAGATATGTTTCAAGATATGTTTCAAGATATGTAGTAAAAAAAAAGAGTGCATGGGTCATATGTCGGATGTGGCGACTGGTTTGTCGGAGGCCCACCTTCCACATCTGACAGACGACTCATGGTGCTACACTTACTCACTCAGCCACCATTCCTTAAAGTAGCTAAGTCCGTAACTCAATATCATCCAAAAACTTTGACATTGAAAACACGAATTTTTTGGCAATTTAAATCAGCATTGGTGTTGTGAACTTACCTGGAAAAGATGGGCTTCTGATATCCAATATTTAAGACAAAATAAACATTTTACCATTGGTACACGAATCGTGCACCATAATGCGTTTCAGCGCCATTTGTAACAAGGTGCTCAAAGAATGAGGCTAGAAATATTCCACAAGTCATGTCAAACGGTGATATCATATTCTTATTTGGAGAGCATGCGCAATAAATAATATCGGTATTGACTGGAATAACCAGACGCTAGAAACTGACTTGCGGTTGAGACTTCTGGCGTATTTCGCTGAACATAACTGATGACAATTCACAGTAAAACGGACACGATTGAATGTAAAACAGTTTATATAAATTCATATTACATTATTATATGTGTTGCGACTCATTTGTACCAATTTCTAGTTCCAAAGTATTAGTGATTTAGCTCCTTTAAACAGTAAATAAAATAGCATCTGAATACAATTTTGCTTTCAATTGGATATTTATAAAATTCACAAGAGCATCTTTCTGGAGGTTTTATTTTTAGATCATTCATTTAATGGTTGTTTTTTTTTTTTTCAGGACAGTCTGTATCAAACTGTAACTGGTGTTATATTTTTTTGTATTGTTTTTTTTTTTCAGGACAGCCCGTATCAAGCAGTTATTGGTTTTATATTTTTACGATTTTTTGCTCCGGCCATTTTATCACCGAAATTATTTGGTTTACAAGATCATCACCCTAATCGTAAAACAAGTCGAACTCTAACTCTGTTGGCTAAGGTAAGAACACTTAAATAAAACAAGTCGAACTCTAACTCTGTTAGCTACGGTAAGAACCCTTAGATAAAATAAGTTAAACTCTAACTCTGTTAGCTGAGAGAGAGGATTTAGGTCCACTCAACACAAACCATGTCATTGCTGGACTAACATATGGTTCAATTTTATTTCAATAAATCACTTGCACATAGGGGTCTTTAGCAAGCAGGGTATTGAAACCACACCACTTGACTCAATCACAGACCTTATGATTTTAAAACACTGGACAACCCAACCACCCTTGTTGAACGAGGCAGCATACTATCGATAATCTTCTTCTTCTTGAGGGGGGTTGGATGGTCGAGTGGTTAGTACGTGTGTGCTGTATCATAAGGCCTGTCATTGAGTCAACTGGCGAGGTTTCGAAACCCCGGTTGTACGTAACAAGGAGTAGTGTCGCCTGTCCAACCTCATGGGTTTTCTCCGGGTCCTCCGGTTTCCTCCCACTGCTAAAGATCCCTACGCGCAAGCGAATTATTGAAATAAAATTAAACCATATGTTAGTCCCGAAATGACTTAGTTTGAGTCGAGTGGACGTAAAACACCCATTCCTCCCCCTCCCCTCCTCTTCTTCTTGAAACGATGCACTTAAAAAAAAAAAAGCCACAGGCTCCACCAATTTTGAGTCAACTGGCGAGGTTTCGAAACCCCGGTTGTACGTAACAAGGAGTAGTGTCGCCTGTCCAACCTCATGGGTTTTCTCCGGGTCCTCCGGTTTCCTCCCACTGCTAAAGATCCCTACGCGCAAGCGAATTATTGAAATAAAATTAAACCATATGTTAGTCCCGAAATGACTTAGTTTGAGTCGAGTGGACGTAAAACACCCATTCCTCCCCCTCCCCTCCTCTTCTTCTTGAAACGATGCACTTAAAAAAAAAAAAGCCACAGGCTCCACCAATTTTGAGAACAATCAACGTAAAACAGGATGTGTTTGATCTTTGTACAATTTCTTATCGATAGTTGATAACGTTACTATTCTCGAATGATGTCAGGGTCAGTTCTTGATTCATATACTACTCTTGTTTTTGTTGATCAAGTAGCTAACAAGTTTTTGTTGTGTTAAAAAAATGTGTAAGCAGAATTAAAATTTGTTTATAATTCATCTATATGTGGTTGATTCCGACCCATCTCCCAATCCATCAATTGACAAATGTATTTTGTATGTATCTGAAATTGAAAAACAATTTGAAATCCAAACTAACCTCCGTTCAGCCATTAATGATGATGGTTGTTGTGCAATAGGCAGAGTATGATTAATCTTTCTAGAACACCGTATACCACAAGGTTATTTTATGTTTTTTTTATTTATTTTTCCAGTTGACTCAGTTAATTGGTAATCTCACATCATTTCAAGTTAAAGAGGAGTGGTTCCAGCCATTGGTGCCCATGATGAAATCTCATGTTCCTAGAATTAAACATTATATAGACAGATTGGTTTCCGTGGTTACACCAGATAGTAAGATTGACTTTTTAATTAGTTTCCATGGTTACAACAGATAGAAAGATCAGTTTTTCAATTAGTTTCCATGGTTACAACAGATAGTAAAATTAGTTTTAACAAGTTTACATTGTTACACCAGATAGTAAAATTAGTTTTTAATTAATTTCCATGGTTACATCAGATAGAAAGATTAGATTTTGATTAGTTTCCATGGTTACACCAGATAGCAAGATTAGTAGGATCTACATTCACCATGGTAATGACTTTATTTCCATGGTTATACCATTCTTTACCATGGTAACAAATGTAATTACATTGGTTATAATTACCATGCCTACCGTATTTACCATGGTAACAACTTTAATTACATTAGTTATAGTTACCATGCCTACCGTATTTACCCCTGTAACAACTGTAATTACATTAGTTATGGTTACCATGACTATCGCATTTACCACCGTAACACCTGTAATTACATTAGTTATGGTTACCATGACTATCGCATTTACCATGGTAACAACTGTAATACATTAGTTACCATGTCTACCATATTTAACATGGTAACTACTGTAATTACATTAGTTATAGTTACCATGGTTATACATTTCTTTACCATAGTAACAACTGTAGTTACCATGGTGACAACTGTAATTACATTAGTTGTTATCATGACTACCGTATTTACTGTTTCTATATTGTGTATTTATAGAGTATACAGAAGGTGTATCAAGTGGTCGATCTTTAACAGAGAAAGAAAACAGCATCATTTTACGACAGGGAGTTTTACATAAATGTCGATACCATCCAAAACGTCTGCTACGGTCATTCGTGTTCAAGAAACGTTTTTTCTGGTTGACCAGAAATTCTCTACATTATTCTAAAACATCGGCTGATGATGTAAGTTGTGTATTATGTTTTAAAGAAATATACGGTAACATAATGTTAATTTTGGTTTTTTAAAAAAATAATCTCTATCTTATAAATGTCAGGATATTTTTTACAGGGTGTCCGTAGATCGAAATATCTTGACGCTACAATGATTTGTGCCGTAGAAAAGTTAGATTATGGAGCCCTGGGAAAATCTAATATTGGACAAATTATCCTAAAAACACCGGAAGGGGACCAGGATATTCTCTATTTTCAAGCCAAGGTAAGAAATGGTTTTATATTTATTTTCATGCCAAGGTAACAAATGGTTTTATATTTAAAAGTAGTTTGTTTACATTAAAATTTCATTCTTTTGTTAAAAACGAGAGGGAGGGGTCTAATTGTTTTGTGCTTGTGGTTTAAATCATAAGGTCTGTCATTGAGTCAACTGGCATGGTTTCAATTCCCCTCTTGTAGAGTTGCCTGTCCAACCTTGTGGGTTTTCTCCAGGTCATTGGCTCAATGGAGCGTGCGTGCTTTACATAAGACGTTCCCGGGTTCGGGCAGAATGGTGCCTTTTACGCATTTTAATACCCATTTACACTAAATAGGGAATATTTCTTTAATTATTTTTCTAAGACATAAAAAAATGTTTAGAATTTAATTTGAGGGAGGAATAAAGTTAATATTTGTGGCTCATTACGTCGCATCAATGTCATCCTTATCAGTGATTGTAGCGGCCTAGCGAAAATTCACTGCTGATCAGTGTGTGTCAAGATTGGGCGCAATATTTATGTTACGTCTTTTTTGTATTCCTGATTGTTTTCAAATCTGAGTGAAGTCTGTGTCACTACAGGCCCGGGACTGTACAGCGCAGTGGACGCTTACGGCTGGCCCCCGGATCCATTCACTTCATTTGATATTTAATTATTTGGTGCAATGTATATTTTCTGTGTTGTCCGCAGGTTTATCTTGTAGATTTTTGTTTTGCGTGTAGTGTGGATCAGTGTGGTGTCAACTAAGTGGACTACAAGGTTCTGATATATCTAGGATGTTGACTATATAGGGTTAGGAGTGGTACTAGGTGTTCTGTGAATATTATATATTTCAGGATGTGAATGAACTAACAAGTTGGATATCAACTTTACGTAAAACTTGTCATTATAATAAATATCTTGTTCCTTATTACCATCCTGGTGTTTATAAAAACGACAAGTGGTCCTGTTGTCATAAAATAAAATCAACAGGTTAGTTATCTCCCTTTATTTATATCATAACCTGCTCTAATACATCAGGGCGGTTGGATGGCTGAATGGTTAGCGTGCGTGCGCTGTATCATAAAGTCTGTCATTGAGTCGACTGCCGTGGTTTCGAATCCCCGGTTGTACGTGGCAAGGAGTAGGGTCGCCTGTCCAACCTCGTGGGTTTTCTCCGGGGCCTCTGGTTTCCTCCCACTGTTAAAGACCCCTACGCGCAAGCGAATTATGTAAATAAAATTAAACCATATGTTAGTCCCGAAATGACCTAGTTTGTGTCGAGTGGACGTTAAACCCCATTTCTCTCTCTCTCTCTCTCTCTCTCACAAGTACATCAGGTTATCCAGTGTAAGCATATAGGGGATGTTTGATTGTCAGGCCAGACTGTCCTCAAAGAACATCATTACCATCAAGTGACGTGGAATTCAGTCATGTCATAGTTCTGTCAGTCACGACAACTGAGGTGGTGAGAGTAGAAATGAAATTGAGTTTTACGGCCTACTGATCTGCTCAGACTGGATTAATGAAGACGAGCATACTCCATACAGTGTGCTATGAGGGAAATTTTTCTGGGCAGCGGCACTATGGCCTACTCTTATATCAAATTCCAACTGCCAAGGGATCTTTTACGTGCATGCCAAGGTATAGACGGGACCTTGGTTTTTTGTCCCATCCGAACGACTAGACAGCTGATCTTTCTTAGCCAATGCACTGATCGAACACGCGACCTCCAGGCTAGCAAGCCAGCGTCTTACCCACTTAGCCACCGTAGCATCTAGATGTTGCTAGAATTCACGAACTTATAGCTACATTATCTGTAGACATATGAACAGTAGCGTCCAATCAGAGGTTGTGACATAGCCACCTCCACAGAAACCTTCACATTGAACGAACCTTGAACTTTGCACCTCGATTATCACATTTTTCACACTTTAGCTGGAAAGCAAGAGACTTGGTATTTGTGATGATCGAGGAATCTGATAGGCTCCCAAGCAGGGTGAATCCCCAATCGTAATTAGTGCCGAAGAATGCAGGGTATTACGTGAAGGCCTTGATAAGATGTATGTAGTTAAAGCAAGATCGAGTCTTCTATTGAAGATGCATATAGGTTTACTTTTAATATTATGCAATCTGATTAAAACCCAGATCCTGTTTCGTTTCATTTTTTTATAGTTCAAAATTTCGTTTTGCTTGTTTTTACTACACTAGGATCTGGAAGAGTTGTTATGTAACCTGCATTCTGGATGATGTGAGGGATTAGCCGATAAAACGGTCTCTTTAGGCTAGGCGAGTTTTTGGCGTGAAGAGCACGAAACTGTGGGTAACCCACTAGAAACATCAATGCTGATTGGTTAATCAAATGTCCGACATCATAGGGTCAAGAGTCGCTCGTATGACCTCTGACCTGACCTTCCACTACAACCGCCAAGAACTCACTGTAACAGACCGTTTCAATGGCTAATCCTTCATATCAACCAGAAAGCATGTTATAAAACAACTTTTCCAGATCCTAGTGTAGTAAAGACAAGTAAAACGAAGCGAAATAGGATTGGAATTTATTCATCAGATCATTATCTTTAGCTATTATTCATCATCTGTATTACAAGGGAGGTAACTGTGATTCTCCACTTACCTACTGACCAGTGGAAATTTCTCATGTTATAACTCCAATTACCTACTGAACAGCAGAAATTTTGTTTATTTTATTTTCTTCAGCCCCTGGTTGTAATCAGACGTACCATGGTGTCATTATCGGTGATTGGCAAGATTCACTGGACACGGGTCGTGAAGCACAGATTATATTATCTCAGTTTTCACAATCTCTTGATAAACTACAGTAAGTACAGGGTTAGGGTTAGGGGTGGGTGGACGATTGTTTCAAAGCAAGCCTGATGGATCATAAGGTCTGTCATCAAGAGGAGTAGTTTCGATTCCCCACTTGTACGTGACTAGGAGTAAGGTCACCTGTTCAACCTTGTGCGACATGTCCAGGTATTCGATTTCCTCCATTTGCTAATGAAACATCAGCGGATTTGGTGAAATGAAAATTGAACCATATGTTAGTCTTGGAATGACCTACTTTGTGTCATTTCTCTCTCACTTTCATGGTCACATAATTTTTCTTTTTCAAGATGGCTTTTGTCCATAGGTCATTATAAATGAAATGAAAGTTTTAACGTCCTACAGTTCCGCTCCAACTGACCTAATGAAGACGGACATACATCATGCAATATGTTTTTGAGTGAAGTTTTGCCCAGACTCTGTCACTACAGCCTACTGTTATTTCAAATTCCAATTGACAAGGATTGTTTTGTTTACACGGCAATGTGAACACGAGACCTGGAATTTACCTCCCCTCTGAAGTACTATACATTGTCCAGCACCACGGAACCATGCTGGAAAGACCTGATTAACTTTCTCCGATCGACGATATGTTGTCCCTCCATCCCATACTTGAAAACCAGGCAGTTACTTGCCCAGTACAACTGTAAATTCAATTTGTTTTTCAGTGAAAAGGAAAAATATCTCAAAGATCATACGTCATCCAATGGAAAAACAGGATCTGTTTCACCACAAAGTCAACTCGAGGTCGTGCGTAATGTCATCACGATTGTCAACACAATACAAAAAGATCACGACCATTATCAACAAGGGGAGGAAACTCTATAATATAACATGGTACAATATTTTACACTTTGATAATTATCAGGGGGTTTTTTGTTAACAATTGGATATTTAATCCTTGGCTGTTTTTTTGTTGACTTTTTTTGCTTTGTTGTTTTTATTATATATAATGATATTTATTTACTGTTTTTGTTTAAAAATCCCAACCAGAATTAGAGTTAATTATAGAGAATAGAAATGAAACAGAGCAATCTTAGAGGAGCTTTAGGTAAGATTAGATAAAGAGCTGACAATTCTCGCTATAATAGTTACACTATAATAGATAATGTAAACAAAATATGCTGAAAATTTCAGTCAAATTGCTTCACTCTGAACCTAGATATTAGCGATTCAATTTTAGGCTAGCCTCAATCGTCACTACTAGCATTGGTACCATAATAAATAAAGTGGCAATTGATCATTTTTATGTTAAATCATCCATCACAAAACGTATTCAAATCTAGTAATATCGCAGCTGAGTATGGTCATTTAGACCAAATGTTAAGTTAATAAAGGATTATGTAAGATTTAGATAAAGAAAGAGCTGTCCATTTGTGCTATAATAGTTTAATAATAGATAATGAAAAATGAAGATATTGAAAATTTAATTCAAATTAATTTATTCTGAGCGATGTTATGAGTGTTTGAAGATGTAGCGTAGATTATCGTAACAATGGTACTTGACAACCAAGGTTAAGTCTTGATTATCCATTTTATCTTTAAATTTTTAATCTTACGGGGGTTCAAATCCATTTAAATCTCTGCCATCCAAATGTCCTAGAGAGTTGATTTGAGGCTTGGCATGTTAACTGATGTCTAGATAATATTTTATATAAGTTGAAGCCAGAAAAAAACTGCTGCATTAGACAGATTTAGCTCTTACATAATGCCTAGATAATAATTTATAAAAGATTTGAAGCTAGAAAATCCAGCTGTTACAGACAGATTTAGCTCTTGTATAATTCCTCTTTAAGATTTGATTGTAATAAAAGTTATTACAGTATGATGTATACGGTATAGATGATATACCTGGTTGGGGTTTTAAATTATACAAATGCTCAACATCGGATATTTTAAAATGTATATTGGGAATTTATTGGTGCCATTACAAAAATTGATTAAATAGTGCTCAATTTTAATTTTCTTTCCAAACATGAAGAAATAAGTCTGTGAAATTACTGAAGTTTAGAAATTAATGAAATGGAGAGGGGTTTTACATAGGCTAAGCCTGTTCCCCAATCTCATTCAGACAACCTGAATAAAAGTATTGTTTAAGAAAATGATACTAAATGGAGATTAATTCATTCATTTAGGCCTGATCAGTGAGATTCTTGGAGTTCAAGTTTCAAATTTATGCTTGACCTCTGGTTCCTGGTTTCAGAGTTCAGATTTGGAATTGATTCATCATTATTTATATATCCATATATATAGCTAATGAATGTAAGTATTAATATCAAAACAAAATAATGCTTTATAAGCAGATAGCATGAATATAGCTTTCAACCTAATGATAATTATCTTTGTTATGTTTATGTTTTAAAACATTTGTATGGTTTGTATCACTGATCTTCATTTGTATGGTTCAGGCCGCTGATCGTCATTTCCATGGTTCAGGTCGCTGATCGTCATTTCCATGGTTCAGGCAGCTGATCGTCATTTCCATGGTTCGGGTCGTTGATCGTCATTTGAATGGTTCGAGTTACAGATCTTCATTTGAATGGTTCAGTTCTCTGATTGTCATTTCCATGTTTCGGGCCACTGATCTTCATTGGCATGGTTTGGAAATTATCTAATTTCTCACGGTTTAAGCCACATTTAAATGTACTCAGTTCTCTTATTTAAAATTCAATTACGATTAAAACAAAAATCAACAGTAGATTAAAAAGTGTGGTCCATCAAAAGGTTTTTATACGCCCACATTGAAATGTGGTCGTATATTGTTGTCGACCTGGTCCGTCTGTCCGGCGTCCACAAGCAATTGTTTTTGAGCAATTTCCGATAATTACTGCCAGAGTTATGGCCCTTGATCACTTCAAAAAATCTTGTGGACGCGCTAGAGGCCAAAGTACATATTCGATTGACTTGAAATTTATACACAGTGTTTAAGGTCATGAGACGAAGAATCCGTCAGCGATTTCCGATAATTACTGCCAGAGTTATGGCCCTTGATCACTTTGAAAAATCTTGTGGACGCTCTAGAGGTTGCTCTTTATCAGATTTTAGTGTATTATAAATATTTCATTACCGAAAAAAGTAAAAATATGCGACAACTCTTGTTGACTGCCCGGACGATTTAGCTACTGTGGGCGTATGTTTCGTTGCCTGGTAACCTATCATTGTTTTTACCAAATATTTAATTGTGGAACTGTCGTATTTACACGATCTGCCGAGGATGACGAAAGTTGCGAAAGTTTTTTATTCAATATATCTTTGTCTATGCTGAATGGAATTCAAGAGTTTTTGAAATAAAATAGGGTTTAAGGTCCTACTGTTCTGTCCCGACTGGGCTGATGAAGATAGAATTTTTGTAATGATATTCCTTTTTAGAGATTCGACTTGGAATGACGATCAGCAACATTAATGCTATATTTTATGTTTGTAATATTTACTTTAGCAATAACATGAAATGGGTGCTTTTATACACGATTTATTTTACGTTATTTTAAATAATTAATGCTTTCATGTATTAGTATCAATAGATAATTGGGGTGGGGGTGGGGGGGGGAAATTGGTTAACGTGTGGGCGCTGTATCATAAGGTCTGTCATTGAATCAACAATAATGTGCACAGTCCATTCAGTTTATAATGGCTCCCCACATTTCATGAATAATATAATATGATGAATATGATTAAAGAAGATAATGATTGAGGTAAAGGGTTGGCTGATCACTGTCCTCCTCGGTTCTTTCAGTCCTCTAATATTTAAACACCTCAAGCCTATTGTGTAGAAATATAATGGGACCTGTCTGGTTCATGTCTACTGAAACACGTTGACTCGTCAGTCTGATACAGTCGTAACCACATTAAGCTTATAAACCATTGGTAAAAGAGGCAAAAAAAAAAACGTGTTGTAGGTGTTGCTGGATAATTAAATAAAAAGCGTGATGGCATGCCACTGAATCTCACTATTATATACACGTTTATGAATCACAACCAGGTTGTGTGTTGATACATTTTTATCATCATGTTACCTAATGGACTGGTTACCGTCATGGTTACCTAATGGTCTGGTTATCGTCATGGTTACCATCATGGTTACCCAATGGCCTGGTTACCATCATGGTTACATTCAGCAATATTAGTAATAATCTCAAACACTGCCAAGGCCAACAATTTATAATTTTATTTGTATATTTAATTCTTTAATTGATATCTTGTTTTATTGTATTTTAATTCCATATTAGAAAATCCATCTCAGTGTAGGGGTGGGGGAGGGGGGCGGTAAGGGGCTCAAGTCAGCACAGGGCTTGCTTGAACATTCCTATGCTATAACATATAGCAGATCATGACTCATGCTGGCATTACACAATGGTTTCCCTGGGTTTTATTCCTGATTGTTTTCAAATTTCAAAGGTTCGGGACGCTTACGGCTAGCCCCCGGATCCATTCACTTTATTTGATATGTTTGTTTGTTTGTGATTTCTGCATATTATGCATTGTTGGTATATTTGTTTTTATGTAAATTATGTGTGGTGCAGTCCCCCTGCACTTACTATTAGACTACCATATGAATCATACCTGCGATGGTCTAGTTGAGAAAGCAGTGACCCAAGCCCTCGGCAACACCCTCACTTCATCTCATTTTATGTACACAACATTCAAGATTCTTCACACAGGCATCATATGTACAGTGTTTTAACATGCACATGAACATTTTAAGCAATAAAATACACTGTCTAATTTTTATTGGGAAATATTTAGTGTTACTCCCATATTATATTACATGATACTCCAGTCTTTTTACTATATAGATGTACATATCTTATATTTCATGATACTCCGACCTTTTTACTGTATAGATGTACAATTGTTGTTGTTTATTATAAATTTAACATCCATATAAACAGGTTGATTTAATTAACATTATTTACAAGTTGATATTATAGACAGATTGATTAGAAAGAAGATATTATAGACAGCTTGAATGAATTAACATTATTTACAAGGAGTCATAACAAGAGCATCGCTACCGCTGCAATATACGTCCACATTCCTGCTTTGATTGATATGGTACTTTTTAAAACTAGAAATGGGCGTGGCTCTGCCCCTGGGGGTCGGGCATGCACCAAAAACAATAGGGATCTTCCTTGGGGTATAAGGAATAAGTATACCAAGTTTGAAGAAAATCCAGTAAGAATTGCGCCCTGTAGGCGACACAAAGACACACGAAAAGAAAATGGGAAATGGGCGTGGCTCTGCCCCTGGGGGTTGGGCATGTACCCCAAACGATAGGGATGTTCCTTAGGGTACAAAGAATGTGTATGCAAGATTATAAGTTAAGAAATGTGGCCTGTAGACGACAAACAAACAAATACTAGAAATGGGCGTGGCTCTGCCCCTGGGGGTCGGGCATGCACCAAAAACAATAGGGATCTTCCTTGGGGTATAAGGAATAAGTATACCAAGTTTGAAGAAAATCCAGTAAGAATTGCGCCCTGTAGGCGACACAAAGACACACGAAAAGAAAATGGGCGTGGCTCTGCCCCTGGGGGTTGGGCATGCACCCCAAACGATAGGGATGTTCCTTAGGGTACAAAGAATGTGTATGCAAAGTTTCAAGATTATTAGTTAAGAAATGTGGCCTGTAGACGACAAACAAACAAATACTAGAAATGGGCGTGGCTCTGCCCCGGGGGGTCGGGCATGCACCAAAAACAATAGGGATCTTCCTTGGGGTATAAGGAATAAGTATACCAAGTTTGAAGAAAATCCATGAAGAATTGCGCCCTGTAGGCGAACCACACACACACACACACACACACACACACACAGACAGGGGCGACGGCATAATACGTTCACATTATGAATGTGGACGTATAAAAAAGGAGTAAAATCTTAAATAAAATCTCTGGTTACAAAATCGGTTTCTATAAGATAAAACTTCTCAATCTTCGTTGTAACATTGTATTGGTATGTTTTTAGAATCTTTTATATAAATCTTTGATAAAGTATGGTTGTAAAATAACCATTGTATTGGTATGTTTTTAGAATCTTTTATATAAATCTTTGATAAAGTATGGTTGTAAAATAACCATAATAGATGTAGATAAAGTAAGCAGGGTCTATCATCTGTTGTAGTAATCAGGACCTGTCATCTGTTATAGTAATCAGGGCCTGTCATTAGTTACAGTAATCAGGGCCTGTCATCTGTTATAGTAATCAGGACCTGTTATAGTAATCAGGGCCTGTCATTTGTTATAATAATCAGGGCCTGTCATCAGTTATAATAATCAGGACCTGTCATCTGTATTTTATACTACATTTATAATTCAGTACTTTTATACCATCCCAATTTAAAAAGCTGATATAAATATCACTCTGTGTTATAGTGCAACACCAACTTGTGTGTTATAGATCAATACTAGCCTGTGTGTTATAGATCAATACTAGCCTGTGTGTTATAGATCAATACTAGCCTGTATGTTATAGTTCAATACTAGCCTGTATGTTATATTATAGTTTAGTACAAGTGCCTCCCTTCAAACGAGACATATTTTGTTATTTTACCCAATGGAAATAAATATTGACATAGAAATACTGTTTGTGATAACATTTGTAAATGTTTAAGCCTATTTATTGATTATAAGTTAATTTTTTTTACAGTAATGTATTGTTAATTTATGATAAGTTAATTGTTTTTACAGTTATGTATTGTTAATTTATGATAATGTATGTTTTATTTACGATACGTTAATATTTTATGATAAGTTAAATGTTTTATTGAAACAGTTAATGTATGTTTTATTTACAATAAGTTAATGTTTTATGATAAGTTAATGTTTTGTTTACGATGATAAGTTAATGTTTTACGATAAGTTAATATTTTGTTTACGATGCTAATTACCCGTACAATAAGTTCATGTTTATTTACGATAACGAAGTTAATATTTTGTTTACGATGATAATTACCCGTACAATAAGTTCATGTTTATTTACGATAACTGAACATTGTTTATTTATGATAACTGAACATAGTTTATTTATGATAACTGAACATAGTTTATTTATGATAACTGAACATAGTTTATTTATGATAACTGAACATATATTCTTTAAATGGCATTTAGTAATTGGAACATAATCAAATAACACACTATTTATGGATAACAATTACTGTGGTTTATTTCACTGCGACGTTTCAACAAGATTTCACAAGTCGTTATCAAGCATATAACACAAATAAAAAAATTTATTTGATAACTGAACATAGTTCATTTATGATAACTGAACATGGTTTATTTACTATAACTGAACATTGTTTATTTACGATAACTGTACATAGTTTATTTACGATAACTGAACATTGTTTATTTACGATAACTGAACATTGTTTATTTATAATAACTGAACATAGTTTATTTATGATAACTGAACATTGTTTATTTATGATAACTGAACATTGTTTATTTATGAAAACTGAACATAGTTTATTTATGATAACTGAACATGGTTTATTTACTATAACTGAACATGGTTTATTTATGATAACTGAACATAGTTTATTTATGATAACTGAACATTGTTTATTTATGATAACTGAACATGGTTTATTTACTATAACTGAACATTGTTTATTTATGATAACTGAACATTGTTTATTTATGATAACTTAATGTTTTGTTCCATTTTCAATGATGTCAATATGTGTAGCTGACCTGCTTTTAGAACACTGTACTTTCACTTTCTGTTGTCTTCTTAAATATTCATAAATAACTTTGTTTATGGAAATGGTCACAGCGAATTGCACGACATGCCTTATTTGGAGAACGATAACATATCCATACACCTTGCCTTACCTATAATTACAACTCACCTGTAGATTATTAATCAGAGGTACCATTAGACAAAACAAATATAAACATGACGAGTGACAGTCGGAAAGTATGCAAGAATCTGTAATAAGATTAGTTGCCCAACACAATGTCGATAATAGATAGACTCCATATATGGCCAGGGCTGTAACTAGCTCAGAGCTACGAGGGGGGCGGGAAGTGTTCTTGGGGGTGCTGTAAAACTGACGGACAATGTATATCTATATTTTTTAAGGTCGAAAATTTCAGGGCTTTGCGCCCCCCCACCCCCATTGATTTAAATCTGGCGTATGTGACACAGTAGGCTATCAGTCTTGATCAGCCCAGCCCAATGGCTATACAATGTTCACGAGATAAGTAATTGAGACAGTCTATCCTCGCTTTTTATACTTTTAAGTCAACTGGCATGGTTTCGGTTCCCCAGTTGTACGTGACAAGGAGTAGGGTCGCCTGTCCAACCTCTTGGGTTTTCTCTGGGTCTTCCGGTTTCCTCCCACTACTGAAGACCCCTACGCGCAAGCGAATTATTGAAATAGAATTGAGCCATGTGTTGGTCCCGAAATGACCTAGTCTGTGTCGAGTGGACGTGAAACCCCATTTATCTCTCTCTGGACGGAATTGAACCATTTATTGGGTTGATATTACTATTGAGAGATCCAACTTTCACAATATTGTAGTTGACCAGGTAAATATATTCTTTGATGTTTAACGACCACACCTTGATACCGTTTCATTGATTTATGTACTTTACACTACTTTATAGATTTAAATAAAATGCTTAAAAAATACAAACTATTCTTGATCCCTTGGCAGTTGGAATTCGATATAAGAGTAGGCGATAGTGGCGCTGCCCGGGCAAAATTTCCCTCATAGCACACTGTATGGCGTATGCCCGTCTTCATTAGCCCGAGTTAGGAGCAGAACAGTAGGACGTTAAACCCCATTTCATTTCATTTCATTTACAAACTATTCTTGATCTTTTGTTTTTGAATTTATTCTTCAGTGTTGACACATTAGGGCTTTGTGAAGACTCGGACTCGTTAAGGAGACTTGGGACTCGACTCGGGCT